TTTTTTTTTTTTTTTGTTTTTTGTTTTTTTAAATATTACAAGTACAGAGATAGAGTGTACAGGCAATCCTCGTCTAGGAGCATTTAGACAAGGGCCCGAAGAAGAAGGGAAAAAAAAAAAAAAAGAAAAGGAAAAAAAAGGTGGACAAGGACAAGACAAGACAGAAAGACAGAGTTTGACCCGGACGCAGGTCCAGAGGGTTGATCCTCCTTTCTGGTCCTCGTTTGGGTCGGTTCCGGGTTGGTAGTAGTAGTATGTACGGAGTATGGATGAATGGATATGGACGGAGACGGATTGTCTGTTCTTGGTCTGGTCATTTAGTCAGTCTTGTCTTTAGTGAATTAATTAGCGTTATTATTACCACTACAACTATGGACTACAAGTACAGAGTACCGGTTGATGTCAGAGGCCGAGCCAGGGTATGCAAAAAAGAGACCACACTAAAAAGAGAAGGTTAGAGAGAAAAGAAACGACGTTATTGGTGGATGTGTTGCATTGCAACTGTCTTTTCTTTTCTTTTTTTTTTCGCCCCGAACGGGTGAATGGTTCTAGGGGGGCCAACTTGCACCACACCACGGAGAAGTAACAAAAAGGAGTGGGTAATAAAAAAAAAATTTGAAAGGGAGAAAGAAACACAACAACAACACAACAACATTTTGGTTGATCGCTAGTTGGTTAGTTTCTCCGAGAGGCAAAAAAGATGGGCACGGGAATACGGTAAAGACTTTTTTAGTCAGAAAAGGAGGCAAAATTACCGCTGGTTACCGCTGGTTACCGCTAGAATACCACACACGGACAGCTGAACAACGGTCAGTTGCTGGTCATAGCTGTTTCTGACTGGTTATATCAACCCACTCTCATACATACCATACGTACATACATACCAAGAATTACCCAAATTACCACGGCAGGCAAAGCCGCTAAACTGGAAACGAGTCACACGTCTTAATCCACTTTTCTCTCCCTCCACCACCATTTTCAGACTTTGCTCCGTGTCGAATCCGAACCACATCTGGATGATTATGGATGATGATTATGATGGATAAATGATATGGTGCCGATGGTGATTCTACCACTAACGGAACACGGAAACGAATAAGAATAATGATGGCGGTGATGGTGACAATGTGACGACGATAATATGTCCCACTCCCGTTTATCCATTGTTATCCATCCATTTTGCTCCATCCATCCCGGCCAAGGAATCCATTCCAACACCGACGACGCAGGCGGCAAAGCAAAAGCGGCTGCTTCTTTACGACATGACCTGTACGAGTATGGAGCAAGCCTACGGAGTACTTTGTGGGAGTGCGCCTATCCTATCCCATGGCGACGAGAGGGGCCGGGCATATCATCATCCCCCCATGGCTCACCTGAAAGCCATGGCCTCCTAGCATCAACGCATTAACATGGATTAGGGCGCTAAACAGGAAACGGATTAGCACCCTTCCGTCGGTCGGTCACTCGCTTTCGTTTCCGTTTTTCTCTTTCCCTACTTTTTTTAATTTTTTATTATTATTGAGATGAGACAGCACAAGTACGTACTATGTATTGAGGACCGAGACCGTCGTACAGCCGCCATTCTAGGGGAACGATATTCATTCTCAACCGGGTTCAGAGCACACGGTATGGATACAGCAGGATACTAGCACAGAGTAGTATGAGTAGTGCATACAGGAGAGGCTTATGACTGATCTCGAAGGCACGGTTATAATGGAACCGATCAACCACAAAATATTCCTGGGTCTATCATTGGCTGGACACCTGCGTCGATTCTCTCTTTCTCTTTCTCTTTCTCTCGCTCTTGCTTCATTATTTGACTTTTTATGGGACCATCAGAAGGGAAAAGTAAGGCAAATTGGTCATTTCCGACGGTCTGCATTCGGCACTTGTTGCTAGCAGTAGTGCTACTACGTACGGGGCAACTCTGTAGTACACCAAAGCACTCGTAAGAGTCAGAATGCTCGATAACTTATGGACGTGCCACTCTTCGATCGTCCCAAAGATCCTCTCCCCTCTGCTTATCGCCGCGGTTTTTCCTGTTTAACCCTCATATCCGAAAGCCAGTGATGGTAGTGGTGGCTAGGCCAGGCTGACATCAACCGGACGACTTTCCGTCTTTCGCGCCGTGATCCCAGTCCGCGGTTTGACAGTTCAATAGTACCTCATCTCTGACTCTCTCATACAGAAACATGTCCATGCGACATCTCTCATTCGCCCGGTAGTCTTGGGGATTCCGCTGATGAGCTGCGACTATCAGTGCAGACTATCATGTGTTATGCACATCCGGACCAGGGAGACTTTGATTGATCGTTACATAACAGGGAACAGAACGAAACATGGTCGGTAAACCTGTTTGCGGATCGTCTGCCCTCCGTATGAGTTGCAAATACTGGTAGGAGGCTCCGTACGCCTATCCGTAGGAGTACAGCACGGAGACCTGGTCTGGGCGCGAGATGGCAATAAATACACATCACGAACGCTTTCATTATTCGGGCGCTGTCCGTAGACGGAGAAGTTCCATTACAGTGCTACATACTCCGGATGCTGACACTCTTTTCCTTTTTCTTTCTTTTCTTACTACGTATGTATGTTGCTGAGCAAGGCAAACTTTTTCAGATGAGGCTCGTACACCGTATATCCGATGCAGAGACACGGACGACACAGTCGGAACACGGAGTCCCTGAGTCCTGAGTAGAACCAATAATTGTGGCGATGACCAGTAACTGTAGTAGTAGTAGTAGTAGTAGTAGTAGTAGTAGTAGTAGTAGTAGCATCGACTAGTCTGACTCCAAATGATAACTCTTACAGAGTACGAGAGAAGACTATGCACAAAGTGTACCTTCCGTGATCCATGGTGACGCTCTTGTTCTTCTGACTGAAGAACATCATCGCCCAGTCAGCGCCCGACCAGAAGAGGTCACCGCGACGAGTTGTTGCGAAGTGATACTTTTTATTTTCTTCTTCGGTGTGCATAGTACGGAATACGCGATAGTCCGGAAAACTATTTCTCAAGTCAACCAACTCTTTTTGAACAGGGTGTGCGTATATCGACTAGCTAACTAACAACTAACAACCTGGCAGACCAAAGTTCGGGGTAACTCTGAGTGAGAACTTCTGTATGCCGAGGACCAGGGTATCTTAGTCTTAGTGTTGGCAGGATTTCTGGCCCTCTTTTTTTTTTTTTTTTTTAACTCCGTAGACTAACTAATAGACTATCCACCCACCTTTCCATGGGGGAGAAAAGGAAGGCAGTGCGCAGCCTCTTGCATTTCCCTGACCATTGGTTCGGATTATCTCCTGGAGGCGGGATGGGAAACGAGAAACGAGCAAAAATTCAGCAATTCAATTTGTGAGTTGGATCTGTCGGGCGATACGAAACCAAGCGCCTCTTTTGCCGTCTTTCAACTCCTTCATTTCTGGTACCGCCACTTTACTGTACTCTGTCTCCGTTTAACTCCGGACAATCAATCAATCAATCAATCAATAATGATGATGATGGATATGGGCATACGCCGTTCTCCGTCTCCGTACTCCGACATCCACGCGGGTCCGGTCTGGTCATGTCTTTGATCCTGGTTTCTCTTTGCAGGTGGATATACCTTTATGGACAGCAGCGAATAGTACAGAGTACAGAGCACATCGGTTTCCCCGACTCATTAATATTATCATCATTATGCCTTGTCAGAGTCGATCACCTGGACCCGCGTAAAGTGCACGCGAGGTCAGTGTAGACTTAAGACTCCATACATTTCATTCTTTCAGTCGGAGATTTGTCTTTGACAAATCTAGAATGGAGCCGCGTGGTTGTTTGTTTCCTACAGGTTTATCCTGGAGTAGAGTGCTCTATGCATAGTTCAGCACATACTACTACCGGTACAGGTCTAGCCTTGTTGTCCCGTTCTTTTTGTTCTCCCTCCTTGCTCGCCAAATCCTTGCGGCAGTACTTCTGTATACGAATTAACCGCAAACAAGCTGTCTTTGACTCTCCAGGTGATACTCCGTGGACTTGTACAGAGTTGACTAGGCTAGCTGGAGCAAGGATCGCAAATAGAACTAACCATCCAACCTCGGCTGGGTTTTGCAGCCACCTGAAACCCAAACACGGTTCCAGACTTTGCACGCTGTAATCTGTGTCTATCAAAAAGCCAACTGTGCTCCATACAGAGGACACTGGACAATCAGAATTATCACTCCGCAGCATCCGGATGGAGATTGAGACTTCCCCGCTCAGTAGAGACATACTTGTACAGACAAGATAGGCGGTTATACTTCAAGGATGGTTTTCTGGAACCTTACGGATCTGGCTTGTCTCACTTCTTGGAGTACTAGTGATGACTCCAAATATAGATTCTTACAACAGAGCATTAAATGTCCATAAGAGCGACTATGTAGCCGCCACTCTGGACCGGATACAGACGGATCTGGGCAGGTGGAGTCTAACGCGTAACTGGTCATAGTCAATGACAACCTGTTAAGCGAGGATAGAGTATGCATGAGCATAATAGTATGTACTAAAATATGCACATAAGCATGGAATTAGAGAATATGGGACACAAGGGCAAACGCATCAGTTGATCTCTGCACTATTTAATAGTGCTACGTACATGTAGACTTTAAAGCATTGTGTGACTTTCTTTAATGGAAAAGGATGGGCGGTTGAGATGCATGTATGCTGACTCTAAAGTGGCTTAATTGAGTAACCACTGGCTAGATGCATTCTGCCATCCCGAGGCCATTGCCCATCATCCAGATCATTGTGATTCAATAATCCCACTTGCTGCTTATATGGATCTTCTTGCCAACCAGTCCGGTATCCAACCTGTAACTATGTAATTTTACAGCGGTGAATTCCGCGGCGGGGAGCAGAGCGAATATAACCCAATTGGGTTAGCGTAGACTTTCTTTGCTTTCTCGCCTTTCTTTCGTTTTCGTGGACGAGTTTCTCTACTCCGGACTAAACTATGGTATGCTATCCATCTCATCATCGCTCCTCCATTTTCCCGACTAGTTCATCGCATAATTTTGTTTTTTTTTTTTCTATTTTCTTTTTTTCGAACCTTGAGTCACAGCCGGAACTCTCATTATATTGTTGCCTCTGTGTCAAGGTGATCCTGATTGCGCGTTCGGCAACACCGCGAAGCCGCGGCTTTGTCTCATACGCATTACATTCAATATTATGATATGGATGATGGTTTTAGTATTACCTCGGATTCGGCTCTTTCATCGTCATCATCCTCATCAGCATTGATGCCTGCCGTTTGCGGCCGTCATGCATCTTAATTCGATTTCAGGACTCTGTATGGAGCACAGCACAGCACAGACTCTCTTCCCTGACCATAGCCGGTCATCTGGCGATTCCTCCCGATGTGGATTGCTGCATACGCATAGGCCTGCTGCATAGCACAGACAGACATGTTCAAAACCTAACAATTCCCATTTCTGGGTTGGCTGATCCTTGAACACTAACTGCTACTGCTACTCTCACCATCCAAATTCCAAGGAGGTCATCGGCCAACGTGGTTGTACAATCTCAGCGACCGTTCTCGGCCAGTTTCTAATCTTATCGGGACGTACTTGCACTACAGACACCTGACCATATAATTATTATTATATCGAGCTTCAGCCAACATCCAGGGGTCCTGTCGGACCCTGTTCCGGTCGTATTCGAACTCGTGCTGCAATTGAGCGTTGCTTTGTTTGTCCCTGGTTTTCTTTTTTTTTTTTTTCATATGAGGCTGCATCTTGAAAATGGATGTCACAAAGTGGGAATACCGTGCATCGACCGGGTAGGTATCACAAACTGGTGCATCCTTTTATTGGAGACCGGTTTTATTTTCTTTTTTCCTTTGATATCTACTGGCCCGGGTTATGATTCCGGTCCCTCAATAGCTATGCCCAGGAGATGCACGATGAATGGGCAACCATCCTTTGCGCGACCTCCACCCTGCCTCGACCCTCGGTCTCTCGGACAACTAACCATCCATCACGGAAGTGTCAGCTGGTGATACGGCGTACAGGACAGCTGAATCCGTCTGCTGGCATAGATTGAGACTTCCTTGTTCTGTTCTGGGTCTAAGCCCACTACGTTGCAGTCGTGTCATTCGGAAAAGGCAACCGCGTAAATGGATATGACGGCTTATCTGGCTGGCTGGCTGTCAGGTTTATTCAATATTGGCGCTTTGATTGACCGTCTAGCTGTTACATGCCGTCATCATCAAATCGAGCAGCTGATACTACGATATGATAAAGGGATTCTTTGATTAGTGATGCTTATGGGTCCCACGTGTCACAGGTCCGGTCCCTTTCTTTTACTTCGTAGATTCATTGATTTCGATCCGGGCTATTGGTCGACAAAGAGGACAAAGACTGTTCCGGCGTGAATGAACCGAGTTCCGTGTTGGCCCTAGGGGGATTATGCTTGGTCGAGTTGTAGCCATGTAAACGTAAACAACGACCTCGTCACAGCCGACATCCGTCGCTGTGCACAAGCAAGCAAACAAACAATTCATAACTTCGGAATGCCCAAATATTCAAGGGTGTTCATTTATCGGGGGTAAAGCACTAATCCCGATGTAGAATTCAATTCCGGTCTCTCTTTTGATAGATACTTCAGCCCTAGATGAGTAGATACTGCGATCTACTACCATAGTACGCTGTATGCTCTGATATACTTGTTTGAGATGTAGTATAAGGACTTAATTGTTTATATTTTGGATGTTGGTGGTTATTATATACAATTCTCGCTAATTGCCGGTATATATAACTGTTGCTATATATATCCTGATGCCGCTCACTGCGGCCAGGACGAAGTCGTAGGACTGAGTATTGTTACTGCTATCCAGTTCACTCAAACATCCCTGAGCTCAACATTTACCTTATGATCTTCTTTCTATCCCCACCGGCCACACCAACCAGATTCCCATATTTCAATGTATTCATAGTAGCAGCGAAATGCTCTGACACAGGCGACACCGTGAGTATCATTGCCGAAGAACTACCTTTGGTATCATCATTGCCCAGAAAATGGCCACGAAGGACCATGGTCAGAGGCGATGACCGAAACGGAATGCGGCTTTGATTTGATACCCTCGCTCGGATGACTTCTTTGAGAGCGAGAAGGTCAGTGTTGATTTGTCGAGCTTCTTGTTGCTCCTGCGGTGTCTGTTTTGGTCCAGGACTTGAGGGGGCTGTTTTATCGTGGCAGTATTCCGATCCGGCCAGGTCGACAAACACTAACTTTCCACTGAGGCATGAATGGCGGCAGGATTTGAGAGCTTCGTTGACGTGGTTTTCTGCCCTTTGCACAGACAGCTCGAACTCAGCTTTCTTCGCCTCCGCGGCGTCGATGCTTGCCTGATCGATCTGGTAGTCTGGATTTGGAACTAACTTGCCCTCCGGTGTTTGTATGAGGCCTTTGACGTTCTCTTCTATGTATATATCAGTCGCGCACTTTGCGACAGGCACTAACTCGGACTGTCGCTCAATGACCGCCTCGCGAGCATCGAGCAACGCCCTTGTGACAATCTCAAGCTCCAGTACTGCGTGCGTGCGGGAGCTCTGATCATGCACAGTAGACGTGCCAGTCGCTCTTAACTTTAGACCTTCAAGCAGCTCTTTGCGGAAGTCATCAAAGCTCCAACAAGCCTTGGTAGCGATCGGACGCACTCTCACTCTACCACCCTCTAGTACTTCAGTCTCGCCGCGGATATGCGTCTGCCCATCATAGCCCTCGCGGACATGGCACTTGCAGTGGTTATTGAGCAGGTCAAACGCCGTGTTCTTACGCAATTCATACATACGCAATCCGATACCGAGTCGGGAGGAAGCGTCGCAGTTATCTGCATTGAGCTTCTCCAGCGTCTCACTCAGTTCACGAGCCGCTGACAGACACAATCCAAACTCGCTCGAGTTGTCAAAGTCGTATCCGATAATCGTGTGCGACTTTCCACTCCCCGAGTGACCATAAGCGAAGAAATTGCAAGTTTGTCCGGCGAGGACTTGTGGTAGTGTGGGTGCGACCACCGCGTCGAAGATTGCCTTGTTGTTGTCGCTGGCTTCGAATATTTGGGTGAATGCAGCTTTGCTTTTCCATGGAAGTTGTCTTTCGGTAATTGGTGGTGCTATAGACATCGATATATTGGAGTTGTCGTGTTTTTTATGTTCTCGTTTGATTTCTGGTGTTGTCACTTGTTCGTTGTCGGTTGATAACGGTCGCCATCTTGTAAACACGTTGAACTGATGCATGTCGAAGCCCTTGTGACCGCTCTTGGAAAAGAACGGTTAAAATATTAAGAAGAAGAAAAGGGAAAATCGGTATGTATTACAATGTAGTCGAGCCCATCGTTGTAGTGGAGACAACCTACCCTAATTTCACCGATACGGACATTCGGGAATTTTCAATCCCCGCTCATGGTGCCCGGTATTTCGGACTTTGCAACCCCCCGCTTGAACGTCTCCTCCTAGACAACATCGTCAAAATGAGCTCGCGGAGGCCATCAAAGCAAATATCGGTAAGTTAAGAGTAAACCATACCATTGGATAACATCTTTACTGAGAACAGAGTCAAGTGCAGCCGCTGTCAGTCAAAAAAGGTAATCGGTCTCGACTCGACAGTAAGCAAGAATCAATGACGAGAAGATTAGATTCGATGCAATAGAGTCGATCCTCGATGCGACAAGTGCGAGGATGCCGGTGCAGAATGTATATATTTGTCCAGAAAACCACGGGCTAAGAAGCGAAGGTCACTCCCTCCCTCTCTTCTTGGACCAACTATTGTTACTAACGACGTGCAGTCATATCACTGAAACTTACAATCAAGACATTCTTCTCGGTATACTCCACCGTCTAGAGCGCCTGGAGGATCACTGTAGACTGGGTCGAGACACGGAAGATCCCAGAGATGCATATCCGTCATCAATGTCTGTTTCACCCGATGACTCAGACATCACTGGGCCCAACAACGACAAAATCCATACTCCAACCACGCGAGGAGTGGTGGCTACAGTGCTGAATCATATCAGTGACCAAGGGGCTAGATCATTCATTCGTTCCAACGTTTTCAACCACCTGGCGCATGTGAAATCTCGCTTTTTTGAAAACGAACGCTGCATCGAAGCAATCGTTTCTGCAATGACAGAGATAGAATGTGTGGAGGATACACATGCAGAAGGCCAGCCTGCATTTGGGATCTCTAAGGAGCTGGCTAAGAAATGGATACACCGTACGTTCTATTCCCGTCTGATGTTGACGAAACACCTTCCCGCTGATTCATCCGTCCCCGTTAAGAGTACTATACTGGATATGAGTTTGAGGGATTTCGGGTTCCCTTGGAGGAGAATTTCGTTATAGCTATCCCGGACTTACTGGAAATTCCTCACGTTCAATTAGATTACGCATCTCAAATCATTTATTACAACGTTCTTCTCCAAGGGCTTATGCTGAGCACTGATGATTGCCCCGGAAGGGGAGGCATTGTGCAATATCTCTACAATACATGCATGACGTTAGTTGACGGTTGGCTGGACAGTGTCAAGAATACGCCCGCAGACTTATATGCAGCATTTCTTATGGTAAGACGAGTCCCAAGTCACCCGCACTGAAGAAGACGAGAGTTGACAACTTAATTAGTTATCGATGATGCTCGAGGGCTGTAACAGCGAACTTTCATGGAAGATTTTTGGTCAAGCCTGCACAATTGCTAGGGCTCTGGGATATTTCTCCGTTGATGAGAGTCCCAATGAACAGACTTTTAACCCCACAGAGGGTAATACTGAAGTAGAAAAGAATCGAAAGCGATTCGAATTCTGGCATCTACTGCGCACAGACTGTCTTTTCCGCCTGTCCTTTGGTAAGCCAGCCTGCATTCCGGAAGGGTCATGGTCAGTAAACCTGCCTGATCCCTCTATCAATGGGGTCAAAAATGAGGCTACGCGGTTTATTCAGATTCATTTTCTGGCATCGATGCGTCTGAACTTGGTCGCGCTCAAATACTTGGAACTGGTGGACTCTAATCCCGATCTGGAAACGGAAGCATATGACAAAACAATCGATAGCCTTACTGCAGAAGTACAGTCCCTCATGTCCGATTGGAACACGGTGCGTTGTCCGTCCCTGTAATGAGACCATCGACTGACCCAGGGAAAAGGAGGAATTATCCAGCACGACCACTAACCATGTCGATACGTGGTTTTGCATGGATCTCTTGTTCAGCAGTTACCAAATGCTCATCATTTTCTACCAATCGAAGAAGTGCAACCAGGGCAGTGATGGGTTACCGCATCACACTGTGGACATTGCCAGGAAGTCTCTGCAGACATTCCAGTCTCTCTTAGTTTCGGCTCATCAACACGCGCACTTTGGAATTAGGTATATTCCAACCCAATTAGATCTACGGCTATCTAGAGCTGTGCTAATCAAGGGCATGTTCTTTGCTATGTAGTCTCATCTTGCTTCACCAATTTGTCCCGTTTTTTATTCTGTGCCTCAATGCCATTGGATCACCTGAACGTGGTGACGTTGAAGCGGATATTGCCTTAGTGATCTGGACTAGTGACACTGTCAAGAAGGCTTCTAAGGAGCGAGGGGACCTGAAACCAATTATGATCGTGATGGCAGCAATGGCCTTGGCTTGTCAACGGGCAAAATCGGGTGGGAATTGATCTGCTGGCCGGTGTCCATCGATGGACAAGACGAAGCGATCATGATCCTTTTCATAACAAGCGAGACTGCCTTGAAAACACTCAATGAATAATCTTGTGCCTATGAAATGAATCACTTCTCGATGTAGAATAACCCAGGGCTTGCATAGTTAAATTATTACATAAGCACAGCACACCGGCCCGACGTTCCCCCGCCGCAACCAACTTTGATATCTCTCTCCGGCACACAGCCAGCCCATTAGCAAAAGACAGTCCAATTCCATCACAATGCCTCCCAGGCTGCAACTGCTGTCGCTCCCGCGGCCGCAGGGCTGGTTCTCGAAAACCGCCCAGCCATTTACCTCGCCATTGTCGTTCCTGCTCCCGCAGCTGCAGCAGCAAAGCCGCAACGCCCACATCCTCGCTTCGCTTTCCGATAACCCGGGAGCATTCAGTAAGAAGACTCGACGCGGTCGGGGCCCAGCTTCGGGGAAGGGAAAGACGTCCGGTCGGGGCCATAAGGGTCAGAAGCAGCATGGAAAGGTCCCCACGGGGTTCAATGGTGGACAGACGCCGGAGATTGTGGTTCATGGCGAGCGTGGGTTCACGAACATGTACGTCCTTCCCTCTTTTCTATTGGTCCCTGAATCACTCTTACTGATAATGTTTGCAGCTTCACCCCCGACCTGGCCCCCGCAAACCTCGACCGCATCCAAGAATGGATCGACCAAGGCCGCATCGACCCAACCCGCCCCATCACCGTCCGCGAACTCGCCCAATCCCGCTGCATCCACCAGCCCAAAGAAGGTGTGAAGCTCCTCGGCCGCGGCGGCGAAGGCACCCTCAAGCAACCCATCCACATCGTCGTCTCGCGCGCTTCCGCCTCCGCCATCTCTGCCGTCGAGGCCGCCGGCGGCTCCGTGACGACCCGCTTCTACACTCGCTCCGCGATCGTCCGCATCATGAACCGGGAGATGCACCCGTTCGTCTCGATGGCGTGGACTGCGCAGAGTGGCAGTGAGGAATTGCACAAGGCGGAGGGGGCTGAGGGGGCTGAGGCGTTGACTGAGTCGAATATCATGAAGGAGATGGGATTCCAGTACCGGCTACCTGATCCGACGAAGCGTCGGGATGTTGAGTATTATCGTGATCCGGCACATAGGGGGTATTTGAGTCATTTGCTCAAGCCCATGGAGGGACCCAGTTTGTTCTTCCGCTCGCCGGTGGAGAGGAAGTCGACGGCGGGTGTCAAGAAGGAGAAGGTGTTGCCAGCGAACAGACTTTGGTGATTGTCTTATGGTTAGATGGATTATGGTTATCGGGATTTGGCAGGTTATTGTATAAATATTATCTGGAATATGTATCAATGGATGATTTTCTCAACTACACTACAGCGTAAAGTACTACTAGAGTGGAGCTTATCTTATGTTTCGCAAGTTGCTTTCATTAGAGCGAGAGAATCATAAAAACGCTATGGAGCAGACTTGTGATAAATCAACAGAATGGTATAACTAGTTAAAACGCGAAAAAAAAAAAAAAAAAAAAAAAAAAAAAAGAAATCCCATCAAACGCCATGCCTAACCACGCTTTCGTCACCGTAGTCATCATAAAACCCGAATTCATCAAAGTAACATAAGAATGAAAATCATGAACTAATTCAACATCAAGCATGCGAACAATCGAAACGTGAAATGGTCAAATATCGTAAGGGTATCATCCCATAAATCCCAAACACCAGCGCCCGTTCGTCATAAACAACATAAAGATAGAGTGAGGGTGATGCAGAGGGAAAATGTGAAATTTCAGGGAAAAGAGAGAAAAGTAGAGAGGCACTTATAGCCTCCAAGGAATTGGCGAACTGCATTCTGAAAATCCGTCCAACCAGCGTGACGACAGAATCTCTCGAATCGTCCAACGCTTCTCAATATTCATCTCGAGACAGCCTTTGATCAGCTCGAGCGCATCCTCTCGATCTTGGCGAGTTTTCGGGTCGTCAAACCCTCCCAGCACCGACTGTTGATCCCATTTACCGGCGATGATATTTGCCTGGACGCGAGGCGTGAAAGCATCCTGAAACGGCCGTGAGCCGACAACAACAGTGAACACAATGACTCCAAAGGCCCAGATGTCCACGACGGGATCGATGACCCCGTTGGAGGATTGTAGTAACTCTGGAGAGGCATATTCCAAGCTTCCGGCAATGCTGGTACTTGACTCCGCAGGTCCAATGGTCTTTGGTGGTGGGCGGTCTGCATCGTCGTCGTATGGGTCTGGCGAATCTGGACCGTTGTCCGTTGCCATCCACTCTGCCATACCGAAATCGCAGAGGACGAGGTTTGACGTTTGCGTGCCCTCGACTGGATCGAGAAGGCAGTTCTCGAGTTTAATGTCTCTGTGCACTACCCGTGCATCTTCGTGTAGGTATCGCAGCGCACATGCGAGTTGGTAGGTATACTTCTTTGCGAGACTGGTCTCCAGACCATTGCGGTTTTGGCGGATCGAATCGAATAGAGTACCACCGATAGCGTATTTGGTGAAACAGAATGTCGCATAGTCCGTTTCATAAACAGCATCCAGGGTTAGGATGTTGGGATGGTTGAGATACCGCCACACTCGAACTTCGTGGTCAAACTCTGCCTGAACTTCATCGTTTTCTCTTTCGCTCTTATCCGATATTTGCTTCTTCACAATCTTGACGGCCAATTGTCGTGGCTCTCCATGCTCCTCCACCTTATATGCTTCCTTCACTGTACTGAATCCTCCATGGCCTATCGGTTTGCCAAGCACGTACTCCGTCCCGACCATCTGACCTTCATCGTCGGGCTGTGGAGTAGGCTCTGGCTCTGGACCGCTACTCCACATGGACAGGAACATGCTAGCTGGGGATTTTCCACTCGAGGTAGTAGACCGCCGACTTCTGTTTGTGTTGCTGCGAAGGCCCCGTGGCTTACTTCCGAACGGCGTCATAGCGCTACCGGACCAGGAACTGCGGTTATCTAAGGAATTAGGGGATGCCATGCAAAAAGGCGACGGCATCCCCCTGAATCCTTCCGGGGGAGTTCGCAGTTCCTCAGCAATAGGTGACGCAGTAGACACTGACGTCAGGGAATTAGAATTTGCCGGTAGATCGTAGTTTGGACTAGTCGGAAATGCAGCACGAGGGCTCCCTGGAAAAGCCCGCTGGCTTTGATACCTTCTGGGGCTGGAACCCCAGGTTGGGTACTTTGGCTGGGATGCTTCATCATCCTCTTGCGACAAAGCGTTCCTCAACCCTGAGCTTCGTGGTTGGAAGCGCTGAAAATTTCTAATACTAGTATTGCGTTTCGGCAAAGGTTCTCCCAGCGGCTCCTGCTGGGCGCTATCGCAACTGGCATTATGGTCGAAATTGAAGGATGGACTCCGATTCTGGATGAAGCTCTCGAGAGGTGAGGCACGAACATCATCTGGTTTGTGCGGATAACTGAGATCTTCGTTTGGAAGTTCCTCATGGCGGGGTACTGAAATAGGAGGGGTCGCTGAATGTAGGCCATTCATCGCACTATTGTCTTCATCAGTACCGCAACGGGGCGTGTCAAAATCGTAGAACTTGTTGGTATGATCGCCCTCGATACCGTCGCCATGATCCCGTACTCTGTTCTCATTTTCATTCCGCCACCCGAGATCGTGTGTCCGTCCAAACGACGTGTCCAACCTCAGCCTCGCCAATGTGTTGCTCTCAGTCTGAGCCATGCCCTCAGAGAGCACAAAACCAACTCCGAGTGAATTTTCGGAGTATGTAGTGAATCCAGTTTGGTGTATATTCGCCTTCGTATGCGTCTTTCTGCGTTTGCGTCGCTTGAGGAAGATGATGGTAGGAGATAAAAAGACGGAAGATGGGGCAAAAGATGAGATGGAAGGAAGACGAAAATCAGACGGTGGGATACGTCAGATATATACGAAGGAGGGTGAGCAATGACTGGTTGTCGTCGATCGAAGTTTTCGAGAAGTTGTAATGCTGCTAACCCCAAATGGTAAGTGGGTTTCTCCAGATTAAGGCGATTAGCGGCAGAGATTGGCGCAAAAGTGTGCTATTATTAAATTAGTATTAGAATTAGAGTGAAGTGGACAAGATACAAAGAAAAAAGGCAGCAGAACAACGTCAGAGAATGCAATGAAAATGTTTTCGGGTGATGACGGAGACACGAAAATGGATGGCCGCCTGCGGGGAGAGGGATTACAAAAGTATGTAGCCTTCCTGCCAATCAGTGCACGGATCAACCCTCCTCCGCCTGTGGGAGCCCTAAGCAGTAGCCCCACCCAGTAACACTAAACTTAATTGGTAACCCAGGCTTCTTGGCAGGACTTGGCATCGTGCTCTTTCTTTCGGCCTGACTCCCAAGGCATCTACATCCCGAGATGAGCATCAGGACCCGCAGATAGCCGCGCGCAAGGGGCGTCTGTTTTGTCGCAGAGTCCCCGAGACAACCTCCTTTTGGCTGTTTCGAAGTCCGGGGAACTTAACTCTCAGTCGGGCCTTTAATCCAGCTTAATTTGACACGGCCTCGGTGCTTCTGTTTCTATTCCGGGTGTCTGTTTTATTTTCTTTTTTATTTTATTTTATTTTTCTCTTTTTTTTTTGACCATTCTTTGTTAATTTTACCTTGTTTGTCCCTTTTTGACGTCGCTCTGGTAGTAGTCTTCGTCAATTGTCTATCCAACCGTCGTCGAATCCTCCCCGCCGTGGTTGTTCGTGGCGCTTACTTTCTTTGGCGACTAAAACCCATTAGGGCTATACTTTTCTTTGGGGGATATTTCACTATATTCCCTCCTTTTCTTTGCGCCGTTGACGCCAAAGCGCGCCGGCTTTCTTGCTCGAGCCCGACGCCCCTGAATTCATTAGTCGTTCTTTGATCGCACGCTCTTCGGCTACGCGACTAAGACCAACCGGTTGAGTTCAAAGGGTTGCTATTATGTCGAGGCCTCGGATTGTTCGAGCTGGTATGTTCAATTTACTGGTGTTGGTGAAAGTTTGGACGATCAGTGGTATATGGTTCTGACGCGAAATTATCTCAATAGATACGCTTGACCTGCAGGATCAGAACGCACCTTCGGCCAAGGATCATGCGACCCAGAACGTAAACCCGGCTCCTCTCGATGGCGGCATGGCTCCCCACCAAGAATTGTCGATTCGCCATGCGGACCAAGATACGCGCGCTGAGATTATGCACGGACCAACTGGCGAGACCGATGGCTACGGCGATGGTATCGATATGTATGACGACGACGAGGATCCCGATGAGCGCCATCATGATCTGGGCGGAGGGTCTTCAGAGGATGGCGATCTTACAGATGGGGAAGGCGATGATCTTATGGACGACGACATGGATAAGATATCAAGTTCCCCGTCAATTGATGATGGTGCGTTGGATCAACACTCTTTTCAAGGCTTTCCTGGGCGGTGATGCGTGCTCGAATCGTTCCGTATCAGGAGTCTTGCAGTAATTGAGGGAACCATGACTTACGTGTTGTGAGCAGAGGATATCGATTTCGAATTTGTATACGCGTTTCATAACTTTGTCGCTACTGTTGAAGGACAAGCCAATGCAGCAAAGGGGGACACTATGGTTCTCCTTGATGACAGCAACACCTACTGGTGGCTTGTGCGGATTGTGAAAGACGGCAGTATCGGTACGTGATACGACAATTCTGTGACACCGGTAGCCACTCACACTGTGCAGGATATCTCCCAGCAGAACACATCGAGACACCCACCGAAAGATTAGCAAGGTTAAATAAGCACAGAAACGTCGATGTAGGTGGAACCCTCATTACGTTTATTTTCTGTGTGTTTCTAACCTATGTAGCTTTCTGCGACAATGCTTGGCGACAACTCAGAGAAATCCAAGAATCCGTTAAAGAAGGCAATGCGCCGTAGGAATACGAAAAACGTTGTTTTCACTGCCCCTACATACATCGAAGCATCTGACGTCGAATACTCCACCGAGGACGAGGACGATGGCGGAGGTTTCTACATTGACGATGAGGATATAGCAGAAACAGATGATATCGAAGAAGGTCACGACGAAGACATAGTAGTCGAACCTCTCAGACCGAAGTCGCAGCGAGAGAAAGAGGCACAGGAACCGGAGACCGTCCGAGAGAGTCAAGAAACAGAGCGCCAGAGCCCGGAACCGCGGCAATCCGCTGAGGAAGCCATGGAATCAGAAGGTAATGCCTATGAAAATCTTGCAAACGGAACAGAGATGTTGACTCGTTGCTAGAAGATGGTACTGTTAGCAGGTCCAGAAATGGCACTGTGCGGAATACGGATTCGTTCTTCAAGGACGACACGGCCGAACCGAAGAAGATATCATTGACACCCAATCTTCTTCGTGATGAAGGAAATAAGGCTGCCAATAGTGAGGGCAAGGAGGTAAGTACACAGATGCCATGGAGCTTTCCTAAGCATAAACGCTGATCATGTTCCACGTTCCAGGACCGTAGTAGTATGGAGGCAATTGAAAAGGTGCTTGCCGCCGATGACAAGAAAGAGGATAAGAAGCGGAAAGACAAGAAGCCAGGGATGCTCAGTGGACTGTTCAAAAGAAAAGACAAGAAGAACAAGGCACCTGAGAATGAGGGTGAGGAGCAGGAGAAACTTTCGTCGGAAACTTCACGGTCACCAAAGGCGTCTCTGGACTCAGTGTCGTCTCCCGAAGGTCGATCCCCGAACAATGGCAAGCTCCAAAAGCAGCCACCCGGGTCTATATCTCCTACGAAGAGGGACCCTCAGTATGAATCAGCCGCCCAAGATGCTACGAGGGCTGTTCAAGGGGCAACGTCGACAACGAAAGGAAGTCAGTGGATTCGACAAGTGGTACCTGAAGAGGAAGAAGAAGAAGAACCTGCCCAGTCTCCTCGCTCAAGATCTTCGGAGGATACTCGGGAAACAGTGTCATCGCCTCAGAGTGCATCGAGTCCTATCAAGCAGGCTTCCCCTCCTGTTCAGGCTCGCAACATCGACGCTGTGGCTTCACCTATTGAGGCGAATAATAGACTCTGGCAAGACGCATTTGGGGAAAGGACGTCAACTCAACAACAGCCGATCACATCTCCCCAGAGAATCTCATCCACACAAAACCTGGGCTACCAAAACCGAGGTCTGGAGTCACCTATTGATGTATCGCCAATTGACCCTCAAGCTCGCAGTGGTGCACCAGGGCTCATCTTCGATTTGTCGCCCGAGAAGCGCTCCGACTCTCCAGTTTCCCCGCCTTCGTCTCCAGGCGCCGATACCAACGGTCCGAACACCGACGACACGCGTTCTGCCACGTCTCCTCAGACCCCAACTTGGAGCGATGCCAGCTTGCGATCCTATTTGGATGATGATAATGATATTCGTGACTTGTTCATCATTGTTCATGACAAGTCCAATGTTCCTCCGGCAGGACCTGATCATCCGATAACAGGAAGTCTGTTCAAGGAGGAGAGCAAGAGACTGAGGGAGATGACCGGTAGACTTGACGGGATGCTGGCTGAATGGGTAGGCCGCAAGTCGCAGAGTCAAATGGTCAACCGCATCTAAAACTCTTGATCTATAAACCATTTACATACCGATCTGTTCGCATATTTCAACCGCCATATATATTGGTTCAACAGCAGCCAATACCTACGCCTGTGTTATTGGTTAATAGCTCATATGTGCTGGACGCATAGACTGTCTTTCTCTATTTTTTCCTTGATCGATCCTCCGTTGATTGGAGACCTCCTTCGTTTCTTTTATCCTCTCCTTTTGTGTACTATCTGTCTCTCATGTTCGTTTCGTTTCGTTTTTCTGTCTTCAAGCTCTACAGCCTGTTATCTAACGTCCTGTGTTGTTTAGTTTTTGTCTGACCTATTGTATGTTATTCATTTCGACTGGGATACCCCAAGGCAAATACAGTTTTTTTTTTTTTTTTTTTTTGCCTTCTGCCTTTCGTAGCCTTGCTCAGGCATATTCGATTCAAGAATTTGAGCTGCTCATAATTTGATCATAGGCGATGTTGCCTGCGACATCATCGCTAGTGAGCGACTGATGCCTGTGCGGAAATCAAATACCCCGTCTTGCTGATAATCATTCAACTCTCTGCAACAGCAACAAGGAACCTAACCACGATATAGCCAGTCTATAATCGTCTTCAACACAGATCTTTGTTAGTCATAATTTCCATCACTTGCATCATGACTGGTCGCGACGCTCAATACGCCGGCGAGGCGAGTTACGGCAGTGCTCCCCCGGGATTCGTCTATCAACCGAACGGATACAAGACCCCTCAGGAACAGCCTCGTCAGTCGTATAACCAGAACCAGGGAGCTGCGTCTTACAACGCTCCACCAGAGCCTCCATGGCAGCGCGGCCCGCCACCTCGTCCTCAGGATGAGCATGACTACTACGGCCCGCGGGAGTCGTACCAGAACCGGGGGTGGGGGAACAACAGGGATTACTAGTAAGTCTTCTCGCCTTCCTTTCAGTGACCATTGAGAATCATACTAATATATACTGCCTATATAATGAGCCACCACGGGACTACTATTACTCTAGGCCTTACAGCCCTAGACCGAGAAGCCCATACCGAAGGCCATACTACGACGAGGACCGGGGTCTCTTTGGTAATCTCCTAGGCCTAGGGCACCACGATAATTACGATCACCACTACTACGACGACCACCACCACCACCATGATCATCACCATCATGACCATCATGGATATCACGGGCATCACGGGCATCACGGGCATCACGGGCATCACGGGCATCACGGGCATCACGGGCATCACGGGCACCATTAGTGCACTCAGTAATAGCCATCATGCTTGCTAGCTGGTTTTGGATGGTTAAATAGCTAGTTGATTTTGCTGTTTTGCGAGCTTTAGCTTATGACTTTTAGATGAGAAAACCCCAGATACAGAGTACAATGATATGAACAATATCCTTGACAGTCGATGTTTCTATTTCAGGCCAATCATCGGGCTCTCCTTCCCTATCGACAGCTGAGTCATCACGATAGACAATCGCCCACCGATCTGCGGCTATTGACCCCACACTGTACTCTGATTGGTCCGATTGGTGTGGTTCACCGGCTGGGTCCGGTGATAAGGGCGCGTCATGCACTTGATAAGGAGAGCACATGACCGGGTGGACAAGGCTCAGCTGAGAATGGCCCCTTATGACCGTTTTCGCCCTCCGCCATTTTCCTGTTGTTTCCTCCATCTCTTCTATTTATGTTTTTGGAACATCGGTTTTGATTGTTTGGATAGACTGTTTCTGTTTTTCTGTGTTGAGACGATCGGTATTGTTCGAGTCCATTCCCCGTCGTCCTTCCTTATCTCGCCCACGCCTCATCATATCCGACATAAGTGTAACAATGCCTCCCCCGTTATTATACTATGTGGATTATGCAGCCGCTGCTATCCTCCCTCAACATTGCGAGCCGTCCTCGTCTTTCCTCGCCGTCGTTTCCTCCTACCTCCACATATGCATCCCGACACCTCTCGCCCTTGTCTCCTCCGTCCTTGGAACATGCAGCATTGTCTCGTGGCTCTTCGCCCAACTCCCTCAGATATACAAGAACTACCAAATAAAATCGACATCAGGGTTATCGATATACTTCCTAATCGAATGGTGTCTGGGTGATGCGAGCAATCTCGTGGGCGCGCTGCTCACACGACAAGCCGGTTGGCAGGTCGTGGTTGCGGGTTACTATGTCCTGGTCGATCTTACCCTTGTTTTCCAGTTCTTCTGGTATACATACCATCACCACCAACAGGTTCTATACGAGAGTGTAGCCTATCCTCGCCACGACGGCGGTGCAGGAGGCGCTTTGGATGGAACTTCGGTGTTTGAGGATAATTCGGTCCGTCATTCGGTGGCCCGGGAGGCTAGTACGAAGAGGTCAGATACCAAGGGTGCAAACTACTCTGTTGAGGGGGTATCTCCCTCTTCTTCATCGAACGACCACCAAACTTCATCCTATTCCAATGAGAAACGCCGTCTCGTTAAAGCGGGAAACGGATCTCCTCCTGGTTTCGTATCTCCCCGTACCCTCCTCATGACCTCAATGCTCTGTGCAGTCGTCGCAAACGCCTCTCCCACCGAAACCACCCCCGAAATACCAGTTACTCATAAAGACTCCCTGGAAATCATCGGCCAGGTGATCTCCTGGATGTCCACCCTCCTCTACCTCGGCTCCCGCCCTCCGCAACTCTACAAGAACTACTGCCGCAAGAGCACCGCCGGACTCTCCCCTCTGCTCTTCATGGCCGCCTTTGGCGGTAACCTCTTCTACTCCGCATCCCTCCTAACAAACCCTTACGCCTGGAATGATTTCCCTGCCTACGGAGGCGGCGGCTGGGCCGATGCGGATGGAAGCAACCGCCTTGACTGGATCAGCCGCTCGACACCGTTCTTCCTTGGTGCTTTTGGTGTACTCTTTTTCGACGGTTTCATGGGAGTCCAGTTTCTCATGTATGGATCCAAAGATGATGAATCAGTGGTGGTAGTTGACGGTGAAGAAGACGACGACCCGAAGGACGGCCGTAGTGCTCGCTGGACTCGAGTCCGGGGCTGGATGAGAGGCTGGATTCCCTCTATTTCTCCGGTCCGTCGACAGCAACAGCACGCTCAGGAGAGTCGGGCTTTGTTGGGTGAGGAGTCGGAGAGGTATGGCGCTGTCTAGATCTCTTTTTGACGATTCAATGATCTCTTTCCGTTTTGTTTCTGCTTTGCTTTTTTCTTGAATTATTCTCAGCATAACCTATGACATGCATAACGTGGTACCTATATTTATTTTTTTGCCCTTTCTGTTTTGGTTTTTGTTCTGTTCTGTTGTTATAGTCCTTATCGTTGGAAATCTGGACATGGGATTTGGTTTGGGATAGATAGACATACTCATACTGCATACCTTTCTCTATTGGCGTTCTTGTGTTACTACTTACTACCATCACACTACCCAGCATCTGCGAATACATCAATCAATCAGCTTAACACCTCTCCATTTTCAAGTCAATCATTAGCAATTAGAATATCATTCTATACAAATATCTAACTCGAGTACATCATGTTTCAGTAAAAATATATTGACGGTCATCTAAATATAAACACACAGCCTAGCAAACGCTCTGGGAATGGCGATGCAAACCGCCCCAAAACAATCTGTAAGCAACCAAGAGAGCCTGCCAAGTCCGAAAACCCCCTCCAGCACTTGGTGGGGGGAGAGAACAGGGCCTGCGTATTGACATATTAAGTAGGAGTTTGTAAGCTAACATGGATAGAGAAGCAAAAGGACAGCAAGAGAAAGAGTTGAAAAAATGGGCAACAAGGCTCTAAGAACCAATGTGCGAAGAAAGAAAAAGGAAAAGAAAGAAAAGAAGAAAAAAGGTTGCTCGGTCATGGTTGAAATCGCACAAGAGGCATATTCGTTCATTGTTCATAGTCTTCTTTTTTTCCGCATTGGACCCTTTCATGGTTTATAAGATGGAGGTCAGGAGCGGAACGCGCAGAAGAGAAATATGGCAATCACAATGATCGCCTAATGATACACGGTAAGCATCAAAAAGATTAAAGCAGCTTGCGACGCGGCATGACCAGCATCGACCGAATCTGTTGTTGAAAAAAAGACGCTTGCCAACTCCTCACTCCAAAGGGACGCAGAACATTACCCGACAGCACCGGGCGTAACGACATAAAAATGGGCCAGGCCATGCAGTTCATACACGAACTACTCGACTGCTGGTACATTTAGTACATGGGCGCCTTCGAATCCTGGACACCACGTCGGATAACGTCTTCGATGCGCCATCGGGGAGGGAGGATGGAGGGGGACCGCTTGCTGCGCCACTCCTTCTCCATTTCCGGAGGGGGTGCCAGTTCTCCATTTTCTGGCAGTGCACCACCGGCAATACCGGTGGAGAATTTGATTTGGAGAACGTTTCCAATTTCATCACAAGCGGTCAAGATTCGGTCGAGGTCTTCTTTGGTGTGAGCGGCGGAAACACAGAAACGAGCCCGAGACGAGACCAAAGGAGTCGCAGGATAGCCGACAACGACGACGGAGATCTTCCTTCGGAGCATCTCGTGGGAGAAGGCGGGCATCTTGGCAGGGTTGAAGAGAAGAACAGGTATAATTGGCGAATCGTCGTGACCATATACTATAAAGCCAAGACGCTTCAAGCCGAGACGAAGGTATCGCGAATTGAAGGCCAGACGCTGTAGCCGCTCTTCGCCTTGGCCAGGGATAATTTCACCGTTGATAATTCGAAGAGCAGAGGAGATCTGCGCCAGGACAGCCGGAGCCGGCGATTCTCCAAAGATAACACCGGAGTTCGTGGCACGCAGCTTGTCAATCATGACCTTATCACCGGCAATGTACCCGCCATTGGCTCCAAAAGACTTGGTCAGAGTGCCCATCAGGATATCCACTTCACGGGTATCGATGCTGAAGTAGTCACACACGCCCCGGCCCCGAGGACCGATGGCACCGATCGAGTGAGCTTCGTCAATAAAAAGGTGAAATTTGTAGCGACGCTTCAAAGCAATGAGACCGGGCAGGTTGCACATGGAGCCTTCCATCGAGTAAAGACCCTCAACGACCACAAGAATCTTCTTCCATGGGCGGTGGGTCCGAGGCTGGCCTTGGGAGATAGCTTCCCGCAACTTGACTTCCAAGTCTTTCATGTCATTGTGCTTGAACATGCCAATGGACGCACCCGAGAGACGGGCCCCAAAACGAATCGACGCGTGGTTCAGTTCATCCGAAATGATTAGGCAACCTTTGCTAACCAGGGCAGGGAAGACGGTTGCATTGGTACCGAATCCCATTGAGAAGATCATCGAGGATTCCTTGCCCACAAATCTGGCGACCAAATCCTCCACTTCCGTATGGAGGTCTTGCGTTCCCACTTCGGCGCGGGTGCTGGGAGCGGTGATACCATACTTTCTCGTGGTCTCCTCAGCGTAATCCGCACACGGACCTTCGGATTGAGCGAAACCCAGGTAATTGTAAGAGCTTAGGTTGAGTGTATCGGTGGTGGTGCCCGTGAAGTAGAAGTGGTTGTTGTGGTCATCCGTTTTGCGGTCAATCAAGCTAATGGTTCGTCCGGGGACACCGGTCGTGGGCCGGTCGAAACAGTCGTTGATACGCAGCTTGAGACGGCGAACATAGAAGTTGTCGAAATCACTGTTGAGGGCGCCGTAGCCGTTCCGTGGCTTCAGGTGTCGATAGTGCTCTTCGCGGAAACGCTTCCCGAAGAAGTCACGGACGTGACCAAAGGCAATTAGGATTAGGTAACTGATGTAGGTGGTAATAAGATAATAATAAGGCGGTTCGTCCATCACGGGCTCTGGGAAGACACCACCGGGGTGTCGACTCGAATACCGGTGGTTATGATGACCAATGGGACCGAACTGCGCATGTTGTTTAGTCAAGCGACGCGCCTCTTCGGGCGACGGAGGCTGAAAGAGCGTGGTGGGCGGTTCGTCCATGTTGGGATTGTCCGCCGTAGCTGTAGAGAGGGAGATGGTCGGTAATGACAGTGAGGCTGAGCTTATCGGAGGAGTAGAGGGACTAGGAGTATTCCCACTGACGGACTGGAGGGCCGCCTGGGCAGTCTGAGGTTCGGACTTGGATTTAGGCGAAGACGAGAAGAATTGGCTCAGACGATTGGGGGCCTTGATGGGAATACCGCCCTTTCCGGGGATCGAGGAAGAAAAGGACGGCGAGTTGGGAGAATCGGTGGTGGTGGAAGAGGAAGCCGCAGATCGACGAGGCATCGCAGGAAAGAGCCAGAGAGAAGCGGAAACGGGGCAGGGGCGATGTCAACACCGGAGACAAGAGGCTGGACTGCGCTTGCCCGGTGGAGTATTGAGGTTGAATGAAGTTTGAGACTGACAACGACGATAAATGCGTCTTTTTAAATTTCTCGTTTTTCTCGACCGCTTCTTGTTTTCTTGTCACGAGTGATGTCTCTGTACGCGGCAATGTGGTGGCTGGAGCTGATTCTGTAGACCAAAGCAGGTCAGTTTCAGAGAAGACTGATAGTGACGCGGATACAGTGAGATTAGATGTTCTCAACAGCGCTGGAATGAAATGTACATGGTCCAGGGGAATGAGTTGAAGCAGGAGAGCGAGAGAAGAAAAAAAAGGCATACAAACCGTTGTTGAGTAGCACCCGAGGACTCCGACCTGTGCACAATATGTATAATCAAGTTATGCCTGTTTGTGCACGTGGGAACAAAAAAAGAAAAGAAAAGGGCACGCAGCCCAGAGAACCGCAGTATTCAGTTTACGCAACTGGCGAAATGGACTAGAAATGAAGGGAGGAAAACAGATCAATTGAAGAGGTCGAGAATACAATTCAGAGGGAAAAGAGAAAGAAGAAGAGAAGAGAGAAAAGAACAGAGAGAGAGAGAAGACACGATGAAATTAATGAACACAATGTGGACTCTTACCCGTATTGTCACGGTGGAGGCTGGGCCGGAGGGCCGGTGAGCTGCAATTCCGGTAATGATACGTATGGGACTTGTACCGGAGAGTGGATAAGCCTAGTTTAGCCCCTGATTGATTCTTTGTTTGCCCCTGCAGAATAAAACACTTTAATAGTGTAGTCCAAGTAGGAAAAAGTAATAAACAAGAGACTGGAAAGAGTAATCATGGCCAGTTTGATCAATTGGGACGCAGCATCATACTGTACAGAGTAATGGACGAAAAAGGGGCTCCGCGGATGCAAGGCAAAGCAGAGCAGCACTCTGATACTGTCCTGATACTCGGTATGGAGCACTTCTCATAGGGGTGTTTGTTCTTACTCTCATGTATCTACACTGTATGTAATCTATATCGATGCTCACTGACAGGACACGTTGAGAATGGTTCAGTAAGCATCCGGAGTAACTATCGTTTGGTGCCTCCAGAATAAATTATCAGGCATCAAGGCATCAAGGCATCAAGGCATGCAGGGATAGATAGCCTCAGCTTACTCTACTACTCTGTACTATGAACGACACTACAATATCATAAGAGAGATTTATTCATCTCTCCTAATGACTCTTATCTGAATTCATCATCCAGGATCCTACCCTGACAATACTACCCTCCACTCCCAGAACTACTACCACTGCTATCGCTTTCCGCGGACAGAATCTGGACCACCCGGTGTTTTCCGCGGTTCCACGCTGACAGCTCAAGCGTTCCTGGTGCTTAATTCACTTTCCTTCAATCAAAGCTTCCTGTCCAAATTCAAGCTCGAACTGTCTTCCATTCGTTGCTGTCAATTGCTGGCTGTGCTGCCAATTGATCGCTCTACCACATCACAACACCAACTAGGGACTGCTTCTTCCTTTACTTCGGATCCCGGGTATAGCACTTTTGATAATGCCTTCCATCGACGGATTGAACAATCATGATGGTCCCAGGGAACTATGGCGACACTCGTCTCCGCAAGACACCAAGATGTATGACTTCATGAAAAGAGCGAGCCAAAAGCATGGGGTCTCTCTTGGCGGCTACCATGACTTGTGGCAGTGGAGTGTCTCGGAGCCTGCTAAATTCTGGGAGGATGTTTGGCATTACACCGCTGTGAAAGCTCATAAACCATATGAAACGGTGAGTATGTCATATCCTCATGACAATGGCATTTGTTAACTAAAGATCCACAGGTTCTGGAATCAGATCAGCAGCTCTTCCCCAGACCAGCTTTCTTTGCCGGTAGCCGGCTCAACTACGCTGAGAATCTTCTCTATCCAGCCAGCTCTCCCGATGAGAATGCAGTAGCGGTTATTTCAGCTACCGAGTTGGATCGCGAATATGTCTCGTGGAAAGAATTGCGGGACCGGGTACGACAGTGTGCCAATGCCCTCAAGGAGGCTGGACTGCAGTCAGGGGACCGCGTGGCCGGTTTTCTCGGGAACCATGTCAACACTGTTGTCGCCATGCTGGCGACAACCTCCATAGGTGCTTTCTGGACTGGCGTTTCCCCTGACACTGGGGTTCATGCCGTGTTAGAGCGTTTGGGGCAGATAGAACCAAAGGTTCTCTTCGCAGACAACGCATCACTATACAACGGTAAAGTCCACAGCGCTCAAGCCAAGGTCCAGCAGATTGTTTCTGATCTGCCGCTTCTGGAACGGCTGGTCGTGTTCGAGACAATCAAGTCTCATCAATCCAACCTTGCGGAGCTGCAGCCTCAGCAGGGAAAGGCTTATAGCTACGATGAGTTCCTGTCGACGGCTAGCAATCAATCAGCTTCGTTGGAATTTGCAAGCTTGGAGCCTGACCATCCAGTGTACATCCTGTACTCCTCGGGCACAACCGGAGCTCCGAAGCCGATTGTCCATGGCGCTCTGGGGACACTGTTGCAACACAAAAAGGAGCACGTTTTGCACTGCGATATCCGTCCCGGTGATCGCTTGTTTTATTTTACTACAGTTACCTGGATGATGTGGCACTGGCTTATCGGTGCTTTGGCCAGTGGTGCCACCATTGTCACCTACGACGGTTCTCCTTTCCGGCCATTCGATGCTGAAGGAGGGAACGGGGAGATGGCAATGCCGCGTCTCATCGATGAACTGCAAATCACACAGTTTGGGACCTCTGCAAAGTATCTTTCTATCCTGGAGCAGGCGTCTCTAAACCCTAGGGAGCACCCTCATCGACCAGTGACTCTACAGACTCTAAGGGCAATCTTCAGTACCGGCTCACCTCTCGCCCCTTCGACGTTCGAATATGTCTACTCATCCATCCACCCTGACACCATGCTGGGCTCTATTACCGGTGGCACTGACATCTTGTCGTTGTTCTGTGGCAGCTGTCCTATTTTGCCTGTTCGCAAAGGCGAAATCCAATGCCGCTGTCTGGGCATGGCTGTTTACGCTTTCGATTATGCCGGAAAGGATATCAGCGCGTCTTCAGAGCCAGGAGACCTTGTCTGCACGACACCATTCCCAGCCCAACCCGTCATGTTCTGGCCGCCTGGCCCGGTGGGAGCGGAGAAGTACCGAAAGAGCTATTTTGACCTCTTCGGACCGTCGATCTGGCATCATGGAGATTTTGTGCGCCTCAATCCTGTGACATACGGCGTAACAATGCTAGGTCGAAGCGACGGAGTCCTAAAACCCGCTGGCGTCCGGTTCGGCAGCGCAGAAATCTACAACGTCCTTCTCAAGCATTTTACAGAGGAAATCGAAGACTCACTATGTATTGGCCGCCGGCGAGAAGGAATTGACACAGACGAAACTGTCGTCCTATTCGTGAAGCTGGCCTCGAACAATGACACTAATCCAATCATACCTGCGGAGCTTGCGGCGCACATCCAGGGCACAATCCGCAAAGAACTGAGCGCGCGTCATGTTCCAGCTGTCGTGGCCGCTTGTCCGGAGATTCCTGTGACTTCTAATGGAAAGAAAGTCGAGAACGCAGTGAAGCAGATCTTATGTGGGTTGAATATCAAGATAGGAGCAAGCGTCGCCAATGCTTCTTGTCTTGATTGGTACTGCGCATGGGCTTTGCAGAATCCCTAGTTTATTTGATTTCTTAATGATGTATTCAACATATTAGCATTGATGAGATAAATTGTACAACCATTAAAATTCATATCTTTCTAATCCTCTCAGCTTCATTACTCAGTGGAAGACTGTCTGGATTCTAGACTGTCCATTAATAACACGGCGTTCCTCTGCCTTCCGATAGCGACCTTGAATATTTGTATGTAATCCAAGCGAATACAGGTCTAGAATACAAGTTTCAAGTATAAGAATCCCAATTACTCGAAGAATATCGCATTTTTGCAGAAAGATATCCGAACTATTCGAGCATAACTCGATTAGATAAGCATATGGCAGAAGACTCCGGCCCGAATTGTTCTTGGCCGCCGCAGCGAACAAGTCCTCGTGCAGTTCCTACGCAAGAGGGGAGAAACTGCTTTAAACCTCTTAAATTGTGTTTTTGAAATATACCCGGAGCAATGCGTCCGTCTGTCTTGCGGGCCATCGAGTCCGCGAAGCCGCTGGCTCGCGTGCCTCGCTCAGTGTCCAGAAGCTTTTCTACGGTTAACCAGTCAACCGTCAAAGTAAAGAACCTCATGCAATGATATTTTTACCTTGTTCGGATGTTGTCTAACCAACGCATCTTATTCTGAAATAGGACCCCGCCGAGTTAGATCAAATCACCACACTATCCAATGGCGTCCGCGTCGCCACCGAGTCTCTACCAGGACCCTTCGCCGGTGTTGGGGTCTACGTCGATGCCGGATCCCGCTACGAAGACGAGAGCCTGCGGGGTGTGAGCCACATCATGGACCGATTGGCTTTCAAGTCGACCAACAAGCGCTCGAGCGATGAGATGTTGGAGTCCCTTGAGGCGCTGGGAGGAAACATTCAGTGCGCTTCGTCTCGGGAGTCGTTGATGTACCAGTCTGCCAGTTTCAACTCCGCGGTGCCGACCACCCTGGGTCTGCTGGCGGAGACGATCCGGGATCCGCTGATTACGGAGGAGGAGGTGTTGCAGCAGCTGGCGACTGCGGAGTATGAAATTGATGAGATCTGGGTGAAGCCGGAGCTTATTCTGCCTGAGTTGGTGCATATGGCTGCGTATAGGGATAACACATTGGGTAACCCTTTGCTGTGTCCAAGGGAGAGATTGGGTGAGATCAACAAGGCTGTGGTGGAACGGTACCGAGAGGCGTTTTTCAACCCTGACCGGATTGTCGTCGCTTTTGCCGGAGTTCCGCACGAGGAGGCCATCAAGCTTACGGAGCAATACTTTGGTGATATGAAGGCAAGACAGCAGGGCACTGGCCCCGTCCTATCGGGCAGTGGTATTGACACCACGCTTTCGGATTCCGAGTCGGCCGCGAGGGAGGGTCAGGTGCCTACAGTCCCTCAGTTCACTCCGTCATCAACGGTGTCCAGCGGAGCTGCTTCGGAGTCAACAGAGTCTAGCTTCCTCTCGAAACTCCCGTTCCTGAAGAGCTTCTCTGGCTCGTCGCACAAGAACAGCTCTGTTTCCCCTCTGGATCCTTCAATGGTTGAGCCGTCAATGTTGGACTTGAACCGGCCCTCCTACTACACTGGTGGATTCATTGCCCTCCCTCCAATCCCTCCGCCTGCCAACCCCATGATGCCTCGTCTGAGTCACATTCACCTTGCCTTTGAGGCTCTCCCCATCTCCAACACCGATATCTACGCGCTCGCTACTCTCCAGACCCTCCTCGGAGGTGGCGGGTCCTTTTCCGCCGGCGGTCCAGGCAAGGGCATGTACACTCGTCTCTACACCAACGTCCTCAACCAATACGGATGGGTCGAAAGCTGCATCGCCTTCAACCACAGCTACACAGACAGCGGCATTTTCGGTATCTCGGCCTCATGCAGCCCCACCCGCACCACCGAGATGCTAGAGGTCATGTGCCGCGAACTACACGCTCTATCCCAAGACAGTGGCTACTGGGCCTTGCAGCCCCAAGAAGTCAACCGCGCCAAGAACCAACTCCGCTCCTCTCTCCTCATGAACCTCGAGTCCCGCATGGTCGAACTCGAGGACCTAGGCCGTCAAGTCCAGGTCCACGGCCGCAAGGTCAGCGTGAGCGAAATGTGCCGCCACATCGAGGCACTGACCGTCGAGGACCTGCGCCGTGTTGCCCGCCAGGTCTTTGGCGGTGATGTCAAGAACCCCGGCCAGGGTACCGGGAAGCCGACAGTGGTGATGCAGGAGGGTGAGCTTGAAGGCTACAGACTTCGGCCGTTCCCCTGGGAAGAGATTCAGGAACGGATAGCGCGGTGGAAGTTGGGAAGAGTGTAAACGGTAGTTAGACTTGGACTTGGATATGACATTTTCTTTACTCTTTTCTTAATCTGCGGTTTGGTGTACTATATAGAGAAAAGGGTGTGGGTAGCCTTGTTGGCACGAATTACGGTATTTGACGTCCGGTGTACTCTGTATTTAGAGATAGCAATATGAATGTATACTACGCACCTTGTTCTCCTCTCCCCTGATTCTCCTGCTTACTCTGTTTTTGCCATCGTTCCTCGCCATCGACGTCATTACAACGAAACACAATGTCAAACGGAGTATATAATAGACGGAAATCAAGCGTCGAACCTAGAGATCTTTCGACTTTGCCTTCTATAACATCCATCCACGCATTGTTATTTCATTCTATCCATCTCACCTACATCATTACAACCCATCAAAATGGGTTCAATCACATCCGGCCACCCAGGAAGTGTCAAGTACGAACATCCACATCTTCAAAGCTCACTCACTAACACATCTGATATCCATCTGTAGCACCCGGAACAAGGCCATCCTCAGCATTTTCGCCGTAATGGCCGGCAGCTGGATGCTCTTCCGCGCTCAATCGCCGAATAAAGACGACGTGCTGTTGTCGAAGGCGGATGTTGATACTACGTTGAAGGGACGGACGACTAGGGGGAAGTCGGAAAGGTCGATGGCGCATCAGGATCAAGATTGATCTTTTCTTTGGTGTAATATAGCTATTGTTGATGTAAATGCATTTTTACTATTGCAAGATGACATGATATCCATGACGATGCCTTGCCCTATTTACACCTAAGGCACCAAAATACCCATTTCGTAAATCCACGGAAAAAAGTTACTTCGATTTCCGGCAATCAATCTCCGTTCCCGAAAAAGACCGTCATTGAGTGCACAACTTCACCCACGAGCAGCTTGCGTCCACGTCCCTATATCAATTTCTCTTTGTTATTAATACCATATTCTAAACAGAAACCGCCACAATGGTCAGACTTACCGAGGTTGAGGACGAGCACTTCGCCCAGGAGAAGCCTCAGACCACCAAGGACAATGTGCTTATTGCGACGGATGACGAGGAGGAGGATTTTACCGACACTGGTTAGTATACTGATATCTATTGAGGCAGGGTGTCAGGATTTGTACCCTTCGTCCGCCAATATTCCGGCATCAAGCACGAAGACGTGTTGCCGCATTACCGAACAAAACCACCAAAATTTCCAACACGCACGCTAATCCTCGGCTACAAATACAGAATCCGAAATCTCCAACGAAGACGAAATCGAAGTCGAGGGCGAAAACCTCAGCGACCGTCTCACTGCCCTGAGAGACATGATCCCTCCCTCCGCCCGCCGCCAATTTTCCTCCTCCGTTTCCTTCGTCTCCTCGTTCACAAAGTCCAGCGTTCTGTTCAGTGGTCGGGCACTGTGGGTTATCAGCACTACCGCATTCTTGCTGGGTGTTCCGTGGGCGCTTGCGTATGCCGAGGAGGAGCAGTATGTGCAATTGGAGCGGGAGCAGGGTATGATTCGGGGAGCTAATGAGGTATGTTTCCGTTGATTTTTGGGGGTTCCGTGTCGAGTCGAGTCGAGAAATGTCAGGCAATGTGCTAACAGGTTCACTTTTTAGATGCTCACTCCTGGTGAACAGCAAGCCAAGGAAGCTCAGCCTACTCTGTAAACGATCCGGTCCAGAGATGAAGGTTGAATCAGGCGGAGACCAGTCATGTCCCACCACTGCATGGCAATGTCATGATACGACTTGAAGAAACAAAAAACGAATTTAAAAAAAAAAAAAAAAAAAAAGCAACGCCAGCATGGTTTCGGTTCGGTTCGTTACGGTTTCGCGGAGTGGGATGTACAAAAGCACGATTTCCTTTTCTTATTTCCAACATGGGCTCTGGGCCGACTGTGCTGTGCTCCGACATCTAGCCCATGTTTTCTGTATAAAGCTACGGTTCGGGCTGGATGTTCCTTGGATTTTACACTATGGCGCAGCGCAAAAAAGAAAAAAAAGGTTATGGCTGATTGAGGTTCTCCCCCTGGTCCTGGTTCTCCTTACGAGTCTTTAGTTTGCTGGTCTCTCCCCCCTCTGCTTCTTCGTTGCTTTCTCTTCCTTCCAGCATTTCCCGCCAGGCTCGGGTAGCTTGTGTATTTGTATAACCAATGTCCCTGTTATGTTCTTTTCTTTCTGTTTCATCATGTCTTCTATCTACGGTTTTCATTGGTTTCGTTTGCGTTGCTAGATAATGGATATGGATGACTTGATCTTACCACGGCCTTATGGAATGGCAACTCTGCTATACTCGCTATGTACTTGTAAATGGTCATCATGAACAAAATCGAATGGGTATCACGGCATATGTACTGAAAAACGCAAACCTATCTACACTGCTAAAACTTATCAAACCTCTCATTGCCCTAGAAACAATTAGTATAAACCCATTGGCCAATGTCAGTGGGACGCAAACATACCGACTCCCTCGCAGCCTCCAAATGAAGTTTGAAATCGCGCCACATCTTCTTAATCTCATCCGTCTGGTCCATCATAGCAACGGTCTCGACAGCGCATGTCGCCTTCCGCTTCGGGCTCCAGTGGCTGCGTTCGAGGATCTCTTCGTCGGAGAGATAGTCCTTGTGGGCGAGGTAGTCGACAACCCATTCGTTTAGGTGGTAGCGCCAGTGGATGGCGGGGTGGGCCATTTCTGCGCGGGCTTTGCAGTTTCTTTTGGATGTGAGTATTAGGGGTCTTCTTTAAGAATTGAGAGGAGAAGTAGGGGGGAGACTACATACCGTCCCATGTAAAATCGAGTATCCTCAAACGGAATAACGTTACCGTTGCGGTCTTTTTCCCTTGTGCTTTCATCGTCTTCGTCGTCTTCTAGGGCCTCCAGGGTGTCCATAGAATACGCTTTTCCATAAAGCTTAATATCAAACGACGCCGGATGTTTAGACCGATTACAAGCATCACACGGATGATTATCGCTAATCGGATACGAGGTTATCTCGATATGCGGCCTTGCCATCAACGCCCGGTAAAAATCAAGATTCCACACAGTTGACATGACCTGCGAGCCCGTCCATCCCTTGACTTCGTCTTCGACTTTGGTGAATGCTGCTTGGTACATGGCTGCTGAGCGGTGGAAGGCTGGGTTTAGCTGGTTGAATACCATCCATTCGACGGTGTCCCGGAAGTATTCTTTTGTCTGCTTGTAGGCGTGTCGGGTGAATTCGAAGGGCATGTCTTCGAGGCCGGCTGGGACGCCTAGGGTGTCGTTTTCTTCGTCTTCTAGGACGAAGTCATCGTCGTAGTGGTCTAGGTCTTCGTTGCTTGCGATTGCGGATTCGACGTCGCTGTTTTCTTGTTGGAAGTTGAGGCGGGTTTGGTAGTTGGTTGGTGGTTGGTTTTCGTCTGATGATGCTTCTTCTTCGTCTTCGTCTTCGTCTTCCTTCTCTTCTTCTGGTTCTTCTGGTTCCTCGGGTTCGGGTTCGGATTCCGGGATGTCCTCTGATCTATAACCTGCTCGTCTCCGTCGTAGCATTTCGAGATGCTGCTGTCTTTGGGCCCTCGCGGAATTGGCGAGTCGGCCGCGGGTACGCGTTTCTTTCACCACTGGAGTATTGTTAGCATGGCTCATTATGATTAATAGATTGACCTACCTGAATCCTGGAGATCTTCAAGGTCTTCTTCTATATCAAGCTTGTCCTGGTCTGAGCCTCGACGAGGCGTTTGAGGGTCCTCGGAGACTATATTGCGCCTTCGTCTTCGTGCCGGGGTCACTAGTGGCTCATCCTCGTCCTCATCCTCATCCTCATCCTCATCCTCATCCTCATCCTCATCCTTCTTCTCTTCTTCTTTTTGGGTCTTCGGGTCAAGTTCATCCTCTTTCTCCTCGTCGTCATCATCAAGGACAATAGTTGGTTTGGACGCCGCCCCACGTCTCAATTTGCGACGCGGCCGACTGACAACTTCATCTGCGTCGCTCTTTTCCTCCGACTGATTGGATTCACTTTCCGATACTGCAGGCCTCTTGCGCTTCGATGTTCGGTTTCCATTCCTCGTGCGTTTGCTAGGCGCAACCTCCAGCTCACTGTCATCTTCGTCCACAGCTATTGCCTTCTTTTGCTTCCGCGCGGATTTCCCCTTCTTCTTCCTTTTATTATCACCGGAAGATGCAGATCTAGACTCTTCCTCTCCCCCATCTACATCAGAAGATTTAACCGGCGACGGAGACGATGGCCGCTGCTTCCGGTCTCTCTGACCCTCTTGCTTTTTAAAATCCAGTCGCGTCCTTTCCGGACGAACAACGGGCATAGACGGATGTCCATAGCGTAGTTTTGCTTGGCGGCCAGGACTCCCTTGCCTATCTGGAGAAGCAGCGCCTGCCGGGTTGAAAGATAGCCGCGTCTGCTTCGGCTTTTTTCCATATGTGCGGGGCATGGTTCGGGTTTTTTTTCTTTCTTTTTTTTTTTTTTTTTTTTTTTTTTTTTTTTGTAGTAATGAACGGCAAGAATAGAATATGGATGAATAGATGCTAGATAAATTGACAATAAATGGTGTTACGTCGGAAAGTAGAGTGATTCCGTCTTGGATCGCGAAGATTCGCGTCGCGAGAGCACGTGACATGATATAAGAAATTGATGGGCAAGTTATCTACCGAGTAGTACAAGAACGCCTGAAACGATGGTTTTTACTCATCATCAGCACAGCCTATCTCTTCTCTTTCATCCAAAATATTCTCTTTCTGCGCTTTTTAATTTCTTCAGAACTTTCGTCGTATCCTCGTCACTTACTCCACCACTCTGCAGATTTTCTTGCAAATCATTAGCCTGTAGATAGATATGTTAAGAAAGACACAACTCTCAGGTGGATGGCAGTTACTCACGCATGAGCTGAACCCCTTAAGAAACCGTTCCTTCCGCTCAACAGATTCATCATCGGTGTGCTCTTTGACACCATGTAAGATACACTTTGAAAACTATCCCAGGCCGTCGGTTGCTTTCGGCACTTCTTCAGCTGCTGTGCTGAGTCTGTCGGCCATAGTTGAAGCCACACAAGTGGTATAGGGCTCACCGCGCCTCATTATACTGCCTTGCGCAGTGGCTTCGATTGGGCTGGCAAATGCGGCGCCAATGGCTAGGAGAGAATATAACAACTGGATCTACATTTTGTTGGTTATTACTATGTACGGAGCTCTGTATCTGGTTGTGGAAACATCTGTTGGGGTACGTGTAGTCTTTTATTATAATGTTTCTTGGTCAATTCTCATGAGGTCCGTGGGCATTGTATTTGCAAAGCTAGCCAGTTTACCACAAATACAAACCCAGATCGGGCAACACATTTACCGTATTCGTCTATCTTTGGCTGAATACCGCTATTGAACTCTAGTCTGGTGGGTTATCATCCCTTTGCTCCCTCTAGCTGAGAACCAGCTCGTTCTGGTTCAGCTCAGCCTTGGTGAGCTGAAGAGTCAAGAGAAATGAAACCATCAAGAAATGCCGTTCCCCTTTGCCGTCATCTGTGATAGGGACTGCAGGTCAGTATTTATCGATCAGCTGCTACGGTGGTGATATTTGAATGACGCGGAAATGTTTTCCGTGAAGAAATCTTGCAATAGTAGTTTGCTAACACCCAATATCTACTCATGGTCATGTTGGTTCTATCAATGTAGCAGAGAGTGATCAACCCAAAAAATGATGATGAATGTGGGCATGCTTTGAAAAGTTTTACTTGGAGCACTGAGGAGCTTTTGTCTAGTGTCAAAGGCGCATTTGGCCTATCAATTGCATCAATCAGTTGAGAGGAGTATTCTGAGTGATTCGGGTCCGAAAGAGATTCGGCAGCCTGAAGTACCCGGGGATAATCTGTACTCCGTACTTATGGTGCTATGAGAAACGATCAATCTGAGTAATTGGTAACTACTAGTGTTCTGTATGTCAGTGAACAACTTAGATCAGGAACCAACATCTAGCCCTATCTACATGGTACAAAGTATAGTAACCAGGATCAAAGAGAAACAACGAAAGAGTCAATATCTCCAATTCCTTCTCACACTCCTCATAACAGCATATGCACCATGGCCCCCCAAAAAAGTGGCAGGCGCAACTTCCCCAGAGACCAGTCGCCGCCGTACCTTCCAGATGTCGCTTCACCAACATTCGACCTTAGAGAACTCTCCTCTCCCTCTTCCAATTCCCTCCAAGCGACATTGATCATATCCCTGATCTTGTATACTTTTCTGGTATAATACTCGTTCAAATGTATTCTCAAAAGCGTCTCGCCGCTCTCTACGTTGTTCTGGGTGCGACCTTCACCAAGCCTGCGGAATGCCTCTCCTCGAATTCACAAAGACTATCGAATGGTCTGATCGGGCTCAAATGCCACCCTCTTCACGCAAACTATCTCGATGGCGCTGCGAGAGCGGATATCCAGCCGATCGATCGACCCGGATGTACGATTATTCTAAGCTGTGTACCGGAAGGAAAATACGGGCCAGCAATTATTGATGACGAACCGACACTGCCACTGAACGTTACAATAACACTCTCCGAAGATGTGACTATGGACACACGACGCTGCAAGAAGGAATTGAAGGAACTTCTCTTCAGGGCACGAGAAGGCGAAGAGGAAGTTGGGACACCGGCCACTCAACGACAAGTCGACCCGAAGCGGCCAAGCCTCCTCCATTCCCGACAAGAAGAATCTCCCGAGGCGAACTCTGAAGGGCAGAGGTATCAAGGAATAGTCGAATACCTTATGTCGACAATCCAGCGTCGGGCTGTTCAAGCGGTAGACTCAGTCAAGGAACGCAAGGCCAATTATCAGGATGAAGTTGCGTCGCAATCCGCACGAAACAGCACGTTGAACTTCTCGATGGACCTTAAACAGGTGATTTTCAAGAAACGTCCATTCAGCTACTACGTGACCCAATGCGAGGAGAGCTTTTGCAGCGGGTATGATTTGCAGAAGATATGTGACCCTAATAGCCGGATTCGACGCAAAGAAAAATTTAAGAGTACCTGCGACTATTGCTATCCTCAACGGGGGAATGCTTTTATCAAGCGCCATTGCGAAAGGAGGATAAAGAAAGAGGTGCGGGCTTTCTATGGGATCTGTGCACTGCTTGCAGTCTCTATCGTGGTTGCTGTTATCTTGTACGTGCTGCACCGTACGGGAAGACTACTGAGAATCAATTGCCGGCTTATTCGGGGCATGCGAAGAAACAAATTTTCAAGTAACCCCGTCACAAACAACAGATTCTCGTCGGCCGTTTTCTCCGATAGCCGCATGGGCTCGATAAGACTATCAGAAGATACCACGATAAGCAACCCGGACTACGACGACTCGACAACATTCAGCAGTTTTCAACGCAAGTTTAGCCAGCTTGGGACTTCCTCCAGGGGATATCGCAAGCGGATTCAAGACGTTTTTGATATCGAGTCGCTAGAGCCCAGGAATGTCAAGGATGAGAATCTGAAGGATAGGGTTTTTGTACTTCCTCGGGCACCGAATGCAACTGTACAGAGGAAATCTGCGGGTAGTTTGAGATGTGTACGGGGAGAGCCACGCGGTCCCAGGCAGCTAGAAATGGAGGAGGTCCAGTCGGATACTGTCCGTAGAGTGTTTCCGCATGATCAGAGTGTTGTTTAGAGGCTATGATATCATTGGTATGTTCGTTTGGGGGATGACATGGCTGCAGGGGATCTGTATGACCGTTCTGGTCTGTCGTGTATTTTAGGATAGCTTCGGTAATTATAGTATTCTGAATAGAATAAATTGGGTTTTTTGAATGATCTGCCGCAGTACCCTTCCTTCAGAAGTATTGTGGCACTTGGTCAATCACGCTTATATACCGTCCGTATAGAATAGCCCTCATCACCCGTTTTAACACAACACCCCCAAGACAAAATCGACACCCCCTGAAAATGAAATGTATATCCGCGCCTTTCACATTGCGCTATATTTCCGGCAGCCCCCACCGCATGCACTGTATATCCACCTAGGCTCGCCTCCTTACCTTCTTCAACTCTCTGATCAACGTATGTTTCTGCTGTCGTAGCTGGGTTAATTCCATGTGAAAGCCGCGCAGCCGTGCTTGGATCTTTAGCCATGTCCACAGACCAAACGAGGATGCGGGGGGTGTTGGGACCGGTACTCTCTGGCGCGCGTAGGCAGTAGATGAGTATGTTTGTTGTTGCTTTTGTTGGTGATTTTTGGGTTATGGAACCAGGTTGCTCTCCGGGTACAGGTTCTGATTCCTCGTAGAGGTATTCTTTTTCGTAGGTTGAGGAGGTTGGGTGTCGAGGGTGGAATGTTGCTGTTCCGTGGGTGGTTCGGTCATTGTAAGTTCGGGTTATTTTCCAGGTCCCGTGTAAGGCTCGGAAGATGGCTGTGGATATTGCTGTTGCGGTGGATAAGGTATTTATCTGATTCTGTCCGGGGAATAGAATGCTTCGCAGAGAATTGAGCGTAATGTCTCTGTCTGATTCTGCTTTGATCGTGTTTGGGAATTCGCCCGCGAATGTATACCGGGCCGGTAGCACTGGACCACTTCTCTCCTCTTCATCACTCTCAGATTGCAAAAGTGGTATCCGGGACATCTCTAGCTCCCTTGAAAACGACTCCATCAAACCCACATAATCACCCATCGGGAACTGGCCGCGGTAAAGCTGTGGATCCATGTTTCTCAGGTCCCGGATACGTTGCCTCTCTTCTTCTTTTTTCTTCGCGTTTATCTCGCAGTTATCTGGCTCCGCTCTAGCCCAATTCGCTGCTACGTGTCGAGCCTGCATCTCCATGACTCCCCAGTATGGTCCTCGGTAGAAGCCCACGAACCCTACATCAGGGATATCTGCGTGCATGGTTCCCTTTCCATCTAGGACTAGGGGGAAGAATGGGTCGTTTTCGGAATACTCTAGCAAAGAGAGGACTGAACTGGGTAAGAATGAGAGGGAGTTGTAGGGGGTGAAGCCGGTTGCCAATACAATGGCTGCGACGTTGTCGAGCGTGACCGTTTCACCGTCCGGAAGACTAATGTTGATTGTCGCTAAGTCGGAATTCTGACTTCTGTAGACAGCGCTGACCCTGCCAATTGTAGGGGTAACAGCCCCAGATCGAACGTATTCTGCGTAATCGTTTCCAATGGAAACCCAAGGGGGTTGCGAAACTTCCTCATTGCCTCCTCTAATATTTCCAAACTTCCCGTAATCACTACCGAGTAGCGAGTACAAATAATCATTCGTCTTCTGTGCTTTCTGAGCCGGGACTGGCCCAAAGGCGTATTCAATTGGTCCCGGGGGTCGTCGAGACAGGTCATACATCACCAAGTCCAAGGAGATGAAAGACACTGTCTTATTAGTGGGCGTATATGTTGTCTCTCGAGGTAGATAAGCCGGTATCGTCCAGAACGGCCTAGTACAAACATGATGCACCTGGTAGGCTTTTTCTGCTGGTTCCCTGGTAAATTTGGACGAAGAGACATGAAGAGCAAGAGTCGAGACAGCCTCAGTCCCCGACAGACTCCCACCTATAACGACCAATTTCCCGCCGGTTCCGTTGGATTTTTGTAGGAGGCACTCAGCGTTGTGCAGAGACGAGCTGTGGATGGTTCTATCCATGAACCCGTCTAATCCAGGGATTTCTGGAATGCTGGGCGACGCAAAGTAGCCAGAAGCAACGACAAGGAGATCAAACTCTTCCGACTTTATCTCTTGATCTCCATTCTTTTCATCGCGACTGTTGATGCCCACGGCAAGCATTCAGTAAGTTTTTCCAGCTTCACCATAGAAACACGTATCAAGAGAGGTGCCAAAACGAACCTTTCAACCCATTGCACCGCCCACTGTCTCCCCTGCCCATCTCCATCTCCAACCTTCTGACTCGTCCGCACAACCCTCCGTCCCAATCTCAACACTCCATTCGGAAGAAACCGCTCCGCATACTTATCCAAGTATTTCCCCACCTGCCATGCTTGCGGAAACATAGGCACTTCCGTATCCTCAACGACAGATTCCCATGCCAGATCAGAGAACGCAACGGTGAAGCGACTGAGATTTGTCCGCATGAACGGGTTCAGTGGGCCAACGGTCGATTCATTCTGTCCGTGGGAGGTAGGATCGGATGTATTATGTGTTGTTGTCACTGCTAGACTGTTGGGCCACAGACCACCGATATCGTGTCGTTGTTCGAAGATAACCGGCGCAAAGGTTCCGTTGGGATGATCGTAGAGGAGTGTTTTGGCTGTGACAAGGCCTGAGGGGCCGGCGCCTGTTTGTTTGAATATTTTTTTTTTAGAAATGTAACCATACGAGTCAGGGACTTGGAGTTCACCTATTATGGCGACCTTCTTGGGTCCTGTCATTTGGGTGAATGGCTTTCCTGCGGTACCGTTGCGGTCGATTTAGGGTACCCTTTGTCTGGCTTATGCACTAGAATTCAGCCGGGTGGTACACATGACTCGGGTCAAGGTGCATGAATCATTGTTGCAGGCAGATAACTTCGTGTTCCTGCATTGGTCTTGACAGGATACGATCAGTGGACATGTCGAGATGTCAAGAGGGGTCGTCGGGATGCGGGGAAGGATTACGATCGATCAGATCAGGAGGAATCATGGTGCAGGTACCAAAGTCAATTGATAGCAATATATATTCCTGAACTGTACATGCGTTCTGAGGATATCACAAAGAAAAATCTATAAAGACGGTGGTAGTAGTGATACAGGTGTGTGCTGATCGCCTGCGCTCAAGACCAAAGAGACTTGCACACAAAAAAAAGAAAGAAAAAAATCCAACGAATGTACTCCCGTACACTGGGTATATCCGACCAACACCGTCGCTGAGCAAAAAAAAAAAAAAAAAAACCATATAGAAAAACAATAGGAAAAGAGCAAAAAAGAAAGTACTGGCCCGAGCCGCGGATCGAACGCGGGACCTCTCGCAGATATGCTTGGGTTATTTCCCTAAGCGAGAATCATACCACTAGACCACCCGGGCAGTGATGGTTGGTGGATCGTTCCGGTTACACTTCATGGAAAGCCGGAGCCGGCAGACCTTCCGCTCCAGGGGTTCGTGACATGCCGCATGGACCAAGTGACGTCGATGCCAAGGAAGGATTTGCGGGATGAACAACAAAGGGGGTCCAGCGTTATCGTCATCATCGGGCTTGTCGGTGGAACAGCTGGCATGCCGATTGCGAATGTTCCCCTGTTGTGGTGTGCGTCTCCGTACTCCGTATTCTGTATCAAGGACCCCTGCACCTGGTGCCCTGTACCCCGTATGTATGGGGAATCGTACATGAATGCATAACCGAGTCCGCATACCGGTCGTACACTTATGCAGGTGTCTTGGCTGAAACCCGATTATTTCGAAGCAAGCCGATGGAACAATAAGCGATCGAGAGAAGGGGGTTGAGAGAGAGAGAATGGGAGGGTGCGAGAGTCGACCTTGTATGTTGCCGAAGGTAGATGTCGAGATAAGGTGTCGACTGGAAGACACGAGTCAAGAGGCGAAAGAAGATCAATACACTCGTTCAAGCCAAGCAGACACCTGTATCTCCGTATTGTTTTCGGTAGGACGGAAAACATCTCCAAGCTCCTGCTCTGACACAAGGGCCTTGACATTTCGCTCTGTCAGAGGGTGTCTGTGTCGGTTCTTCTGTTTGAGGATCTGTCGTTCTGCACGAGCGGATGGTGACAGCTTCGAGAGCGTATTTCGAAGGTGCCGGATGCCAGTCGTTGGGAAGGATGAGGATGGAATGTGAGGCGGACCAAACGGGTCATCGGCTTTCCAGGGACCTTCGGAGGCGTGCGAACGAGCGCTTTTCTTGCGTTGCGAGCGAAATTTTGACATGACGATGACAGGCGGGTGTAAAGCGTGTTTCCGAGCCATGGTGATGGAGAGGATGGATGAAATGAGGAAGAAGAAAAAAGTCAAAAGGTTGGTGGAAGTTTAAGTATGAAGTCAAATGGTCGAGGCCGCGGAGATCTTCAAGTGCGGGGCCTACCTTCTATATATATTCTGGAAGACCAAAAACAGTAAGAGTCTCATAAGGCAGCGCCAAGACTAGGGATTCCTATAGGAACCCATACGTTAGATTCGTGTGACCAGTTCTTCCGTTGATCTCCCACAAGACAGCGCCTTAAATTCGGGGGTTCATTATGGGGGGACTGCATGTGTAACTCCACTGTGTACTTGGCGGGTAGATAAACTCTTGTTAAATATGAAGCATGTATTCCTGTCACTCTATGCTCCGTAGTTCTGTACACATGGCTGTCTTCCACAGGAAGAACGTCTACGTCATTGTGAAATGTCGATGGGGCAGCGCTGATCTACTTGGGCGTGGAGCAGCTCTATATTGGGCACTACTCTAGCAAATCAGTGGATGGATAATTGTCAAGCACTCATATTCAACCACTTATTTTCTAGTCAAGTGCCTGGCCACGCAGTATCTGTAAATAAAGATCACGCCAAGTGGAGGATACAGGCCCTTGCATGTACCTTCTTCCCACTCAATCCCAGTGGCTCAGCCGTTTGGGTCAATGAAATTATCCCCAATCATTCCGAGCAAAACCTGTGATTCAGAAACCAGTCGCTAGGACCTTCCAGTGGCTTTGTAATCATGCCTTGGCAAGGCCTCCAAATATCCCAGAGGACAGCCAATGGACGTTGCACTGGGGGTCTTGGCCATCGAACAAGAAGATGCCTACAAATTCAATGGTGTCAAAAAGCAGTTTGAAGTATCGCATAGACTTGGCGCTTATGATCTGCGCTGCCTGTCTCCAAGCAGCTTTGTCAGCTGCTTCGAGTTACCAGGTGAAATGTAACTGTATTGCTACTTCGAATTAGTCAATAGGCCGTTGTCGATATGACACAACATCATCCTGTATTCCTAGATCAAGGTCTCTTGAGGAAGATCTTGCAGGGCAGAATATTAGAGTCATGGACATCTTCCGCTTATACTTTCATTTTGACTCTTGGCCTCCAGGGTGGATTAAAAAGAAGGTTCCGTTATCCGTGCTATCTCTTAACAGCTCTTGCTGTTAACGAGACGGGTGCGGATTGATCTGGGAGATTGGAATCTATTGACGCCGTTGATGCTGGCAAAGTGTGACGGTCTGGTCACGTGTATACCTCTCACGTGCTGGAAGCAAGGGATATAAGTCTCGTCAACGCTGATGGCACATCATTCTTCTTCTTCTTTCCTCATATTGATTATTCTCGTCGATAGCTACCTAGGTAGAGCACATGAGTTGATGTTCCATTATCCTGGCTGAGCTCCGTGACACAAAGTGGAAGCGAAATGGTGTTGTTGTCGAGATTCTTGAAGCAGCTGGGGCTGGGGTATGAATGTACAAGTTCTGGAAGGCCATTTAGATAATATGCTTTATTTTTTCTCTAATAACTGACATGCGTACGGGGTGGATATATATATACAAATGAGCGATGGTGAAAATGTCAACCATAAAAAATAAAATTCAGTATTAAAAAAAAAAAAAATTATAAAAAGAGGAGAGGGAGAAGAAAAAAAAAAAAAAAAAAAAAAAGTTGGGCTCAGCCGGGAATTGAACCCGGGACCTCTCGCATTCAAGACTAACCCAAAGCGAGAATCATACTACTAGACCACTAAGCCGTCTCAGACCACTCGACCACGGAGTGGTGATGATTAATACTCTGCCATTTTTTGTTCTATATACCCAATACAACGAACTTCATAGAATACATTATCCAAGCGAATGCTACTGAATTGTTTACATCGGATAGTTTAAATTCTTCATTGTCAATTCTCAATGATTTTTTTTAAGTCACAGTATCATCCTGAATCATTGTCCATGTCGGCTATACCCACCACCTAGTCAGGCTTCCCACGGATACGGAACCGAAACCGCAGAAATAGACCTATGGAGGAGAATTTACGTTCTCCAAATGTTTATTCTAATCGATCACTGGGCAAAACATCTTAATGGTGGGCCTCACCCGAAAAACGAGATGGAGTCGAGCACTCGAGCTGAAGTCGCTCCGACGATCGCTGCGCCGATGAACATAAAAGAATTCCACATTGCCGATTCAGCTCTTCACCATAGAATTTGCTCTTGATCGAGCACGTACGGCCATGGCGATAGACGAAACGACTCCAATCCTACAAAATCGTACCGAATATAAATCGCGAGGCCTTGGAAAACTCGCAATTGCAACTGCACTTTTTGGTACTTATACTTCCCTGAATCATAACAGCGGGACCGCGATCTAACAAGAGCAGGTGTATTCCTGGCCAATATCGATGACTCCTTCGTAACCGCTATCTACGGGGAGATCGCGTCGCAGTTCCAGCATCTCCAGGATGGATCCTGGTTGCTGGCAGGGTACAACCTGGGTTATTGTGCGGCGTTGCCGGTGGTGAGTCCCATGGATGCTTCGCTCGATTGAGAAAACATGGCTGACGGTGATAGCATGGTCGGCTAGGTGATATCTATGGCCGGAAGACGCCGTTGTTGGCAGCTTATGCTGTGTTTGGTTTTGGATTAGCTGTGTCGTGAGTGTCTATATCCAGGGTACTATAGATCACGATCTGATTTGTCGAATAGAGGCTCTGCATTCTCTTTATGGCAGGTTATCATCGGAAGAGTGATTACCGGAATTGGGAGCTCGGGCATGGTAGGTCTGATATCTATTGTGATTACTGGTATGTCTGTTTCCCACATGAGTTGCGATCAGATGCTGATCATTTAGATACATCGACATTGGAGCAAGTGGCTGTCCTGAGAAGCTATGTCACTGTCGTCGCCATCGCAGGGTATAGTCTAGGAGCTCCCCTGGGTGGAATCCTAGCAGACCTCGTTGGCTGGAGGATGTCATTTGCAGGTCAGGTGCCAATTGTCCTAATCTGCCTGCTAATCGTCACTCGCGAAATCCCATCCCCACCACCGCCACAAGATGAAGAAACGACTGTACAGGGCGAGACCAGCAACAGCAATGACGACGCCAATGGGGAACCCTCCAGTAAACCCACAACAAAACCTGGAATCCAGAACTTCGACATCCCGGGCCTCATCACTTTCCTCACCACGATAATCACCTTCCTCTTCCTAAACCTAGCCAGCCAAAAGCTTCCTATCACGCACCCCCTTGTCCTCACCATCGCAGCCATCAGCATCATCTCCGCAACGCTCTTCTTCCTTATCGAGACAATCTGGAGCCCCAGCCCATTAATCCCCCTCACACAAATCTGGAGAAACGGCGTCGCCCCGTTTTGCCTAGGACAAGTATCCCTCTTCATCGCATTAGTCGGCCTAGTCGCTCAAATCCCATCCTTCTTCATCCGCACCCAGTCCACCACGAACACACAAGCTGCCGCGCATCTCATCCCGTTGACAATTGGTTGTGCTGTGGGTGGTTTACTCTCAGGGCAGATTATTAACAGAACGCACCGCTATAAACCGCTTTCGCTTTTCTCTGTATCACTAAACACGCTCTCGCACCTTCTTATCTTCGTTACGTGGCGTCACGGCGCAAGTACTACTTCCTCGCTGGTAGTATTTATTACCGGCCTCGCGCACGGGCTCGTCATCTCAACACAGTTCATTGGGATGTCTGCGCGCGTGGAGAAAAGTATGGTTGCGTCGTCTGTGAGTGCGTATTATCTGTGCCAGGAGTTGGGGACGATTGGGGGCGCTTGTTTGGGGGGTGCGGTTGAGGGAGGTGTTTTCAGACAGTTATTGCAGAAGAATGGATTGGGAAGTGAGGTGAGTTCTTTTACCCCCTCTTTTTTTGTAAAGAGACTGTACTGATGGTGATGATGATAGGTGGTGAAGGGAGTGTTGAATGATACTCGGTTTGCTGCTAGGTTGTCCATGGAGGTTCAGAGGGTTGTCGCGGATTGCTATCTTTATGCTTTTCGGTTTATTCCTGGTATGTTCAACCCTACTACTGTGTTGGATGTAGGCTGACTAACGACGTGGTAGTGTTGTCTACTTGCAGCTGTGCAGTGGCCCTGATTTTCATCGTGTCTCAGAAGGAGAAGAAACTTCGGTAGGCAGTTATCGGCCTCGAATATTATCATTATTATTACCATAACATTAAACAGAGCCATAAAACATTAGTGGCATTAGAAACATAAAAAAAGTCATTACCACCCACATCACCGAATACGCCATGTATAGCTTAAATAAATACCACTTAAAAGAGGATTATGAAATCAACAGGTCCCTGACACTCATACCCATTCGTTTACCAGTCTCTTGTCTTTCATGGTTACGAGACTCCAAGCTAGCATCAGTGACCTTATCTATAATCGAATCCAACGTCCCGCGACGATCCTGATTCAGCATCAACAAAGCCGCGGAAGCCTCGTGGTCAACATCTGCATTGTTCTGCCGTGGCTGGAGTGCTGGAGAGGTGTTGGTCGAGGCAGACCATGATGGGTGGTGTTCTGGGTGAGACGGTCCCAAAGCAGGGCTGGGGAGAATGCTCGGTGCAAACTCATATGTGGAGGGAATGCAGGTGCGAGGTGAGAACGAAGGCGAAGTGTCAGGGATTTGTGTGTTTTCTGGGAGGAACTCTGGTGACGCTGAGGCGGAGCGTTCGCTGCCGGCCATTTCTGCGAGGAATTCGGGGGATGTTGATGAGGGCGGACCTGGGGGGAGACGCGAAGGTGCCACTCCTCCGGCAGTCTTGAGATCTTTGATGCATTGTTCCAGGTAGTTGACATAGTCGATGCTTGCCTTTCTTACTGTCAGTCCCTGAATCCAATTCAGAACACGGAGAGAAACTCACCTGCAAGATAGCAAGCTTATGCATCTCCTGACCCGTACAAGCAGGAATCATATCCTTCAACGTCGTAAACTCCTCATTCATCTTCGACCTTCGTCTCCGTTCAATCAAGCTATGAGCCGTCTTCCTTGCAATCTTCCGTCCAGCCGCACTAGTCGCAGTAGGCTGTTTCTTCTTGTTGCCACTGGCTGGTGCAACAGCAGCATTTGCATTTGCGTCACTCGATGACGCCGTCTTGCCCGAGTCCTTGGCTGCTTTCCCACCGCTAGCCTGCCCCGACTTCGTCGACGGACTCTGCTGCGTCTTGGGCTTCATCTGGATGATCTTGCGCGTGCGAGTCGGGGGCGGAGGCAAGTCAAAGTCCTCCAGGGGACGCTTGGTGCCAGAAGTTTGTTGACGAGTGTTGGTGCTCCGTCCCAGAGCCATGAACTCAGGGGACGCGGCTGGAGATGCAGGAAGGTGGTCTGCAGCAGCGGTTTTGGAGGATCTTTTGTTGGCACCAGTCGTGTCGAAGGCAGCGGGGGGTAGAGCAAAGACATCTGTACCCTCGAATGCGGGTTGGTCTTTGACGATGAACTCTCCAGACATGGAGGGAGTTGGGGGAAGACGAGAGCGAGACATTTCGGAAGAGTCGAGGACCGTGGGAGGGAAGTCTCGGGGATGTAGTGTAGTCACGTACGACCGTGGGGTGTATCAGAACAAGCTAGCCTAGTAACAGAAGCAGGGTAAGTATATATCCCCTGATAAGCTGATAATGGGATTCAATATACATACCTATTGTAGAGCTACTCGACAGCACTGTAGACCCAACGTAGGAAAGACGAAGAAAGCCATGGCGGGCAGGACTTCTTAAACAGCAGATGATACACGTGCAGCTCCGGATTCAGGACAGAGGGAAGAGCCCAATCTGGAGACACAGCTCAAAGTGTCGCGTGCTTCACTTCGCCCACGCGGAGGAGTCGTGGCTTCTGATTGGTCAGCATGTGATCGAAGGAGGGTGGAGGGAGTTTCTTCGTGGGAGAACCAAGGCCACTAATTGGTCAATTCAATTGCCTCTAGGCCACTTAATTCTATGCCTATTTATTACCACTGTTACTTTACTTTGTCCGGAAGATAACTCACGAAAAATATAAGGAGCAACTCAACTCTAACAGAATGTTATTTCCGTTGGGACGGAACCCAATCAGAGCACCACGCTCACTCTCCTGGTTCCCTCCGTCTTCCCTCCAGGCACAGCATCCAGGCACGTGCTCGGTCTCGTGATAACTTGCCTCCTATTCGTTCAGTTCTCACGTTAATCTAACTTACCAGAAACGCTTCAATACTTCATGTGCTACCATCACTACTACAATCTGCAAGGGGCCCAGCGGGGTAGACCAATTGCATACAAGTATTGAATGACATAGCAGGTATAAATATAGTCGTATATATTATGCGTGTCTGTTTAATGACATATCTACATATTATGCGTATCGTCCAAACTAACAGCCAAACACTCTCTCAAGCAGAATCTCCCCGAAGTTCGCCTCCACCGGCGACTCGTCCATCCGCAAGATCCTGTTTCCAGACTTGGCGTTCAGCCATAGCCCGTGATCACTTGGGCTCTCCTCTTCCTCTTCAACCTTGTTCCGATTCCGTCGGTCCACAATGCACATCCCCCGCGCCCATTGGCTAGTCGTTTCAATGCGGATATCCTCTGGCGAGGCGGCAGATGGCTTCCAGCCTGCATCCGCCGCTGTCAATGCATACCACACACAAACAGGATCATGCAAGCTCAGCTCCGCCGCATCGCCCTCGTTTCCGGGACTCAAAGTCTCAACGGTGTGGAAGCTGTGTGTCATGAAGGCCGACACCCATTCGGCCAGTGGGGAACCTTTCTCCAGGAAGGGGGTGACTGCTTGCCGGAACTGACCTCGCTTGACTCCGTGACGTTCGGTGATGTCAAGAGGGAATATGCGGACCGTAAGCTGCTTGCTGAGTTGAGTGGGATACGGTGGGAGACTAAGGGTGCCCATGGGTGGGAGAGTAGTGTGCGGCCGGGGCGAGGTGAGAGCGTAAATTCGTGCAGCTGCAAAGGCATCGGCGTATGCGTTGAATTCACCTACCGGAGTGACCTATTTCAAGATGATCAATATCCAACCACTTACCTCGGAAAGGGAAAGAGCTTACATTGCCAGGCATGTTCACAGCCCCACCCATGACGACGACCTCCTTGGCGCGTAGGAAGGTCTCTGGGTCTGCAGAAGCAGCCAATGCCAAGTTCGTCAAGGGACCAACAGCGACAATTGTGACCGTTTCGGGTTCGTTCTCGGCCAAGACACGGAGGATCTCCTGGTGGGCGGGACGTTTGGAGGGGACAAATGATCGTTGCGATACGTTTCCTCCTGTTGGCACGGTGTCGATGGCAAGGTCGTCCGCAGTTGGGTCAAAGAGGTGCTCCCAGGTCTCCTTGGGCGTGAGGTGAGGGTGCTATAAGGCGCAATGGTCAGCCAATGTTGAACGAGCTTGGGTCGGTGTTAGACTTACACTAGCGTGAATTCCACCAAGTCCATCCCGTCCATCTGACGCTAAGTTAGCAACCGCTAGACCCAAATTTTCAAGTCCTTCCATATATATACGTACGGAAATAATCAGCCAACATCTTCTGGGCCTCCAACGGATCCTCAGCACCCACTGCCACGACCGGTTTGAAGGCCCGCAGAGCCTCGAACCCTTCGTTCAATCCTTGTTCACGGCGCCATTGCATTTCGCGTTCGAGGATATGGAACATTGAGATAGCATTGCGAAGACAGCTAAATGCGGAGAGCGTTAGTTATTGTGACAGGAAGATCGACAGATTGCGAGATTCTTCGACTCACCTCCGCACTTCGATGTTACCAAAGGTCAACGAGATGAGCTGGATTTCGACTTCTTCCTTCTTGGCCGAAAGGGCCAACAAAAGGGCAAGGATATCATCGATACCCTATTATCGTGAATTAGCATTGGGATTGTATGCAATTAGATCTTGATGGTGGCGTCAAGTGGGATGGGCCGAGGGGCGAGATAACTTACCGGATCGGTATCGATAATGATCTTTTGCGAAGGCATATTCTGAATTGTCTGCATATGCCGGATGTCTGCTGGTTATAATTTATCTCAATCTTTCGGTATAACCAGGAAAAGATGTAAAGACGAGAAGATGAAAGAAGAAGAAGAAGAAGAAGAAGAAGAAGAAGAAGAAAGGAGATAGAAGAAGAGGGGAACCAAATGTCAAGTCTTGGCGCTGTTATCATCGCTTCTCCACTCTGGAGAGGTGACGGAGCATGGAGAAGAGAGTAGTATCTACAGAGCATTATACGGCAAGAGCATGCTCAATGAAACGGTTAACAGAAGAGAAACCAAAGGAAGTATGCCATCTCCAATGTTAATTCCTTTTTCTAGTAAGATAGAAGCACGCCAATCAAATGGCTGGTAGTTATGATAGCATTGAGTCCTGATTTCTCAGGTGTAAAGGGACCGTCTGTCGAAGGGCCTCACAGTGTCCTAAAATGGTTATTTGAATCGAGCACAGGCAATTATAATCCTTGTGATCTAGATGCATCGGACTCACGCAGCCAGAATTGAAATGGGGTTCATTCCATTGGTAAATCCTCGTGGCAACATATAATCGCCTGCAAGGGATCGAGATCTGGTTGAATGTTGGGGATGTTGACGCACAGAGATGCAATAGTACAATAGTACAAATATACTCCGCGGAGTACTCCGTATAGACCGTTATGTGAATGTGCACAGGAGACACAGGCCATGTCAATCTGGAGTAATTCCTCCGTAGTCCCTGCGCAAAGAGCACAGCTCCGTATGTACTCCAAAAAAAGCAACAGATGGTCCCTGACGTACTGCAGATCGAGACATTCCAACCATCGGAGAGAAGAACATTTGAGCAATTCCGGGAGACGTGGCCTCTCCTTTTTTCCCTTAAGAGATCTCAGTGGTTCTTGTTTCTACCTGGCAGTGTCTATACGCTGTAGCCAGCAATAAAGCAAGACTTTAACCCCTGATGTCTCCATAGTAGTCGTAACTTCCAGTGTACATAGACATAGTACGGAATAAACTCTAGAGAGAATGACAGTAGTGTCGAGTACAAATCAGGAGTAGTTTAGCTGAAAATGAGCATAATATATTGCCAATCCAGCATAAGCCATGCAATATTGCACTAATAATACCCAGAGTTACTGTTCATCCATTCATTGTGGAGCATAATTTCAGACCACATCTCCAAGTCAAACTGTCCTCTTCTGCCTCTTCCTCCTTTCTCTCTTCTTCTTTCCTTCTCCATCCTCATTCCATTGTTTCCCTCTTCACCTTTTCCTCTTTTTTCTCATTCATCTTTTTGTTGTTGCTTTCCATTATTTTCCTCTAAACTTCCGGGGAACTCCTGTCAGTCCTGATGCTTTACTGATCGGCGCCCCCGTCCTACCTCCGGCCGCAACGCGACTGATCTCACCTCTGACCACGATCTTGCCCAGAGTACCAACTCCTCATCTTTACATCAATACCTCATATCAATCGCTACAGTTCGAGATAACAGGTAGCGGTGCTTTTGGACAGCTCTGGGATTAGGAGTCCCGTCCCCCAACCGACCGGTGTCCGAGGCCCACGAGGCCAATCTGGCCTTTCTGCGACTCTCTTAACTACCCCGTCCTCTTCCTCTCAATCCGCCCCATACTATCCAACAATCCTGTGTTCCCGCTTGATGATTTAAAGAGGCTGGGATACATCCACGGGTAATAGGTTTTTATTACGTTAATTTGCGCTACGTGTCCTTCAGACGGTACGGATTTCCCTTCTTTTTTGCCCGCCAAGTCTTGCGCGCGCGGTGTCCCACACCCCACAGAAACCGTCGTTTTCAAAGCTCTACAATCCATATCCCAATCGTTCGTGGCAATTGATACGCTGTCACTTGAGGAGGGATCAATGTGTATCTAATGCCACACAAAACCCTCGACTTTGTCTCACTACTTGTCTACCGTTCGTTCAAAGCTGACTGTCGGCCGAATTTACAGAACTTATCACGATGATGAATCCTTATATCAGTTGGGCCATCCTGCTCGTCGTGGCAGGTGGCCTCGGCTGGTACTACAATGGTCCTACACCTAAAGCTGCTGCCCCCGTTAAACCCGTTGCGGAAAAGCCCGAGGCTGCTACTGGCGCGAAGAAGCCCAAGCGAAAGCCCACGAAGAAGGAGAAGTCTCCAGAGCCTACTCCGGAGCAGAAGTCCGAAGAGAAGAAGCAGCAGCCTGCAGTTGAGGTTAAGCCCCAGGAGGCCGACAAGGCCGACGAAGAAATTGACAACAAGGAGATGGCCAAGCGCTTTACTGCGGTGAAGAACGGTACCGTCCCTGCTTCGGGATCCAGCAAGTCCCAGAAGAAGAAGAAGAACAACAACAAGAAGGCTGCTACTACTGAGCGCTCTCCTTCGACCACCGGTGCTGATGCAGACGATGACCTCTCTTCTACTGGTTCTCCCGTGGTGAACCCCACTTCTGGCGGTTACGTTTCGGACATGTTGGAGGAACCCGCTCCCGCTGCCTCGGTTCTGCGTGTTACTGGATCTGTCGAGTCGCAGCCCAAGAAACAGAAGCCTCAATCCTTTAAGCCCGTCGAGACCAAGAAGCAGCGCCAGCAGAGACAGAAGAACGAAGAGCGTAAGGAGCAGGTCAAGGAGGCTGAAGAGGAGCGCCGTAAGTTGCTCGAGAAGCAGCTTCACTCTGCCCGGGAGGCCGAGCGTCGCGAGGCGGCCAAGGTTAAGCCCGCGGCCCCGGCCACCAACGCCTGGCAAACCAAGAATGTGAACAATGTCGCCAACGGAGCCCCGAAGCCCGCGGCCGTCCCCAAGGTGGAGCTGTTGGACACATTTGACGAAAGCTCGTTGGCCAAGTCCGGCTCGAACCAGTGGTCGAAGGACCTTCCTTCTGAGGAGGAACAGATGCGCCTGCTCAGCGGAGCTGACGAATGGACCACTGTGTCAACCAAGGCCAAGAAGCCCAAGAAGAAGGGCGGTAAGGCCGATGAGAGCGTTAGCGAGGCCAGCGCATCGGAGAACAACCTGCCTGCTCCCACCGCTCCCTTGCCAGCGGAACCGAAGGTCACTGTGACCCCGACCTACATCCCCGACATCCTTCGATCGAAGCAGAAGGGTCACCCATTGGACTCGGACTGGGCGGCTTAAACGGACGACGGTACTTCTCCCTGTTCTAAGGAACATTTCTCTCGCAACCCATTGCGATCCACCCAGATCACACGCGCCCGGAGGTTCGCCTCTCCGTATAATCCGTCCACTTTCCGACACGTCTGTATTTATTATCCATGGCTTTGGCGTTTGGGGTTTCGAATACCAACATTATCCATCGCGGCGCCTTATGAGGTGCCTTGTCTTGTCGCGAATTGAACGAAACCGAAAAAAAAGAAATTGAACAGAAAAGCAAAGGAATTGCTTCACAGATCCTGAGGGCCCAAGCACGAGACAAGAAAAAAATACCGAAAAAAAGACTTGAAGTGTATGATTTTTGTTCATTGCTTGTATTTTTTTTTTTTTTTTTTTTTCTATTTTTATTTTTTTTTTTCTGAACAACTTTGTTTGATCGATAATGGTTTTACTTAGAAAATGGATATGTGAATTTAATCTTGTGTGCACTATGTCATTATGTCCATTAATTTTTTTTTTTTTTTTTCATTCATACAAGCAATAACCTGCCTTGATTCTTACAATTATGGTACACTAGGGCCATTGAAAACGCCTGTGGCTTTGCCAGGCAATTCCCAGTTTCGAGTCTGCCGCACAGTGAGAACCGAGTGTGGAGCCGAAACAGCCTTGTTGATCCGCTGTGGCTGTTCGTCGGCAGTGTTGATGGCAATCAACCGTGCAATGTAGGGTATAAAGCAAGTGTATTCGTGTTAGTACTCTGTACAGTATCCTACATTGTATGCTGCATGGCATTATGCATTGCTGACATGCCATGGTATCTCGCGTCTGTTTTTCTGTAGACTGCACGGGGAATGCTTTCCTGTCAGGACTCAATTGTTTGTTCCTGGATTGGGTGGGGATTCCAGTGCCTGGGCCCAAAAATGAGGGCCCTGGCTTCGAGTCTGCCTTTCAACGCGACAACAGAGCGTACTGAGTAGCACAGTATTAGCCTTGTAAGCGAACAAATAAGGACAACGAACAATGAAAAATAAGGCGTATTCCGGGTATTGGGGTGGTGGAATAGAAACATCTATTTTTATGTCGTCACTGGGCGAATTGCATAGGGCTTGGCGACCATTCCGGATCGAGACTAGTGTCAAGTTCCGGTCATCGTGGCCTGAACAGGACAAAGCATCATAATAAGAGTCAATACTCCCCTCTTCTCCAGTTCTGATTTTTTCTGGAGCAGTTGTCTCAATCCCTCAGCAGCCTCTGGATATTACTATCCTCGCATTTAATTCTCTCATCTTTTCAATTTTATCTTTTTCTTGACACCCTCTCTGCCCGCCATGGCGCAAATCCGCGGCACCGCGGGCTATAATCTCGGACACCAGAACCCCTTCGGAGGCCCTGGGAGGGCAGACGCGACGAGCGACCCCAGTCCCTTGGATGCTATTCGAGAGCAGACCAGCAAGCTCGAGGACTGGTTGGATACATTGGCGGACCCGATCAAGCCGTACGTTGTTTTCGTGTCCGCTTTGTTTGCGACTTCCCCCAGTCCCAAACCGCTGACACCGTGTTTTTATCTGCGGACAATAGATATCTGCCAGCCATTGGTCGTTTCTTGATCGTTGTTACGTTCATTGAGGACAGTCTGCGTATCCTCACGCAATGGACCGACCAGCTTATGTATCTGCGTGACTTCCGGAGCAGTATGTTCTCCTTTCCCCTTTCTTGTCTGGTGTTATGGGTGGTTCGGTTTTGGCTGACATGGTCTCGGTGTTAGTTCCCTGGGGTCTCACGCATTCCTTCCTCATCTTCAACATTATTGCCATGTCGATATGCTCGTTTCTCGTCGTTGTCCGCAAGCACACTGAGGCAGCGGTCGCCGGTCTGCTCGCCGTCGTGGTCGCGCAGGGTCTCGGATACGGTCTCATCTTCGACCTCAACTTCTTCCTCCGCAACCTGAGTGTCGTCGGTGGTCTGCTCATGGTTCTTTCCGACTCGTGGGTGCGCAAGAAGTTTGTCCCCGCCGGATTGCCCCAGTTGGACGAGAAGGACCGCAAGATGTACGTCCAGTTCGCTGGTCGTGTGCTCCTGATCTTCCTGTTTGTCGGTTTCGTCTTCTCCGGCCAGTGGAGCTTGTGGCGTATCATTGTCAGTCTGTTCGGCCTTGTCGCGTGTGTTATGGTCGTTGTCGGATTCAAGGCTAAGTGGAGTGCCATTCTTCTGGTTGTTTTGCTGAGCATTTTCAACGTGCTCGTTAACAACTTCTGGACTGTATGTTTTCGTTTGGCTACGAATACTCGAATTTTGCTGACTGCTCTAGCTTCACCCCCACCACCCCCACAAGGACTTTGCCAAGTACGACTTCTTCCAGGTTCTGTCCATTGTGTAAGTTTCCCAGCCCTGTATTCAACGTGAGGGCTCTGCTAATCAGCGTCAACAGCGGCGGTCTCGTGCTTCTGGTCAACATGGGCCCTGGTCAACTGAGTATGGACGAAAAGAAGAAGGTATACTAAGGGAGTGATCTTCTAACGGAAGCATGGCAAACTTGGCATTCACAAAAAAAGAAAAAACAATAAATTTTGCGCGGTACACTTCTGATGAGCTATTGATGCCCGGCTATATTTGTTTTTTTATCGGGTCTTTTTCGATTCTCCTTCTACTGAGAGTTCATACGTATCTGACTTTTATTTTGGTTATTGCATCCTGGAGCTTTAAGTGTCGCATTCAGATTTTATTTTCGAGTTTCCTTCGTTGTAAATGTGCCGGGTTATCAGAGCTTTTACAGATTACACTTGTTTAGTTCATTTGCTGTGTTTGCGTAGGACCATGACTAAACGTTAAGTCGTTAGTTAACGTTGAGTAAACCTCTCGGAACCATGAAGCCCTAGCGCTGACGTTGATCTCATTAGAACCCAGAAACCATCAACTATTTACGTGTTAAACTACCCACCTTACTTCAAATACTTCTCAAAGAACTCCGCCGCCTGCGCATACCCCCGAACATACTCCTTCAAACTCTCTTCGTTATCCAAATCCGCACGAGCACCCATCCACCCATGCCACATGGTCTCGTACGTTTCCACAAGACCTCCGTGTCCATTCTTGCTGATGATACCCGCATAGCCCTTGACCGCGTCTGCGGGTTCGTCTTTTGATGCGAGGACAAGGTGCGGGATGGTGAGCTTTTCTGCGTCGGAGGTCTCGAGGCGACTGTCCACTCTGTTAGTATTGGATAGTTCAGACAATGAGATAGGAAGAGGGGGGTGAACTTACCCCGGATGAACCTGCGCAGTAGCAGTAAACAGCGTCCCCTCCCCCGAAGCCAAAACAGCAACCTTCCCACCCCAACACAGCCCCAAACTCCCCCACGTCTTCACACTTGAAAAAGTCTCTCGATACACCTTAACTGCCTCGACAAGCACACCCACATTGGTGGGAATATCCGCCTTACTCCCCACAAACCCCATCAACTTACTCATCTTCTCCTCCGTATCAGCAGGCAGCCACTCATGTTTTGCGCCGTCGCCGTGGAAGAAATCCGGGACTAGGACTAGTGCGTTTAGGCGGGTTGAGAGGATATCTGCGCCTTGGATGGTTTGCGGGGAGAGGCCGAAGATGTCGTAGATGTCGATTATGGCGGTGCTGGCGTCGCGGGGGCCGGTTATGTCTGGTTTGATGGTTAGTGCGTGAGGGTAGAAGGGGGAGAGAGGAGGGGAGGGGAGGGTACAGGTGTTAAGACTGGCGAGGGTTTGGTAGGTTCCCTTTGGTGTATAGCCCTGGGGAATTACGGGGGGTATAGTGCGGCAGGCTTCGCAGGACATGTTGAGTCAATGGTGTTGAGATACTGGGATGTAAGAAAGAGGGGTACGAAGTACAGATTAAGATAAATATATACGAAGAGACCATTGGATAAATAAATAAACCTACAATACGGACATAACACAGTATCACCGAACCGGTCCATTTCTCATTCGCTGACCCCATCCCGATCCCGTCCCGTTACCGGCAACCGGCATCCCGATCTACCCCCAAACCAGCAAAAACGCGGGGACGCCACGCGGTTTAGCGCATGCGAGAAGCCGTTACCGGGTAGACCCGACAAATGCTTAAATATCGCGTTACACAGGCCAGGAAGTTTTTTTCTGACCTCAACGTTGTACATAGGACTCGATGGCAGGTGAAACAGATCCGAAGAGGAATGATAGCCAGGTTGTTCAGCCGAGCGCACCACAGAGCCAGCAAAATGCGGTCGATCAAGAGGATTACTCCGTGTTCACTGTGAACCAGAAAAGGGCCATCGTGGCAGCTGCCTCGTTGGCTAGTTTCTATTCTCCCCTATCGTCGAGTATATACTTTCCTGCATTGGAGACCATCGCATCGTCCTTGGGTGTGTCGACTTCCAAGGTCGATATCACCGTCACCACATACTTGGTAAGTTCGTTCCTTGGCTCTCCAACCTAAAAACAAGCCAAGAAAAACACTAACCAGGTTGATAACAGATCATGCAAGGCATCGCCCCCATGTTCATCGCCGGCTTCTCCGACACTGCAGGCCGCCGTCCCGCATACCTAATCTGCTTCACGATCTACCTCGCCGCGAACCTCGGCTTAGCCCTACAGAACAGCTACGCCGCGCTTCTCGTGCTCAGATGTGTCCAAAGCGCCGGTAGCAGTGGCACCGTGGCGCTCGCTAACGGGGTTGTCAGCGATATTGTCACCTCTGGCGAACGGGGCGCGTATATCGCCTATGCTTCGCTGGGAAGTATGCTGGGGCCGTCGCTTTCGCCGGTGATCGGGGGGTTGATTAGCCAGTTCGTAGACTGGCACTGGATCTTCTGGTTCCTGCTTATCTTCGCGGGAGTGTTTTTCATCATCCTCGCACTGTTCCTACCAGAGACATGCCGCAAGGTCGTGGGCGATGGATCAATCCCCCCACCGGCCCTAAACACCTCCGTGAGCGATATAATCCGACACCAACGACGCCAGCAAAAAGGCCTCACCCCACCCCCATCAAAAACCACCGCCCTCCGCAAAAACACCACCTTCCACCTCCCCTCCCCCCTCCCAACCCTAAAAGTCTCCTTCGACCTAGAAACAGCCGCCATCCTCCTCACAACAGGCCTCCTCTTCGCCTGCTTCTACGCCATCATGACCGGTGCCACAACCACCTTCCACGAAGTCTACCACTTCAATAACATCCAAACAGCCCTAATGTACATCCCCATCGGCGCGGGCGGGATCCTTTCCGCCTTCACCACGGGATACTTTGTCGATAGGAATTACCGACGACACGCGCGTCGCGCAGGTCTACCTGTTATCCGGAACCGGGCGACGGATATAAGCAACTTTAACATCGAAAAGGCACGTATTGAAATCGCCCTGCCAATGTACTACCTCACCAGTATCACAATCATAGCGTATGGCTGGGTCATGGGGCGACAAGTCCACCTCGCAGCGCCCGTCATTCTGCTCTTTCTCTGTGGCTGGGCACTTAATGGCACGTCGCAGGTTCTCAATGCGTTGATGGTTGATATCTGGCCTGGACGGTCCGCCGCCGCCACGGCTGCGAATAACCTGTTTCGGTGTGAACTGGGCGCGGCCGCTTCGGCGGCTATTAACCATATGCGGTTGGCGATGGGGTGGGGATGGGCGTATACGGTGTTGGCGTTAATATCGATTTCGGCTTCGCCGGCGCTGTGGTTGGTGTCGAGGTATGGGATTCGGTGGAGGCAGAAGAGGGTTGGGAAGGAGAGGGTGAAGGCGTTGGCGTTGGGGGAGGGATCTTGATCTGACATGGTAGGGTGATTGCTTTGCATCTTTCTGCATTATGAGTATTCGAGCATCTGTACATACCCACTATACCCTGTTGATAAGTCATTTAGTTAAGATATAGGATAGAGCCATATATGGTAAATACAACTCATGCATAGATTTATATCTTACTAGGGCTTCAGGAGATATCGATTCAACACTATTAGGAATGCAAGTCATTTCTATATAAGCATAAAAGGAGGGTGGCATGGAGAACAATTGAGCCCATAGAACCGTGTATATATAGAGGAAGACAGTGTAGGGAAGACAATGTAAAAACATCGAAAAAGAAAAGAAAAAAAAAAAAAAAAAAAAAAAAAAAAAAAAGGAAAAGAAAAAAGAAAGAAAGTATCTATTAGACAAGGTACTATTATACACGAAGGTAAAGACATAATCGGGTTAAGGAACGAGAAGAAGGAAATAGGAAATGTAAGACGCTGACAATAACAAGCTCAGGTAAAGATAAACAAAGACGCATAGAGACACGGCAAAACAACCAAGGGAATAATGTATAAAACGATCAGGCAATGAGATCAGCAAGCTGGTGATAGTGCCGCAGAAGAGCTGCAGGGAAAGAGAGTCGAGGTAAAGCTGAAAACAGGACAAGGCTTTCTGTTTTTGCGTTTTTCGGTTTTCATACCAATTTAGAATCGTTCATATGCTCTCTTTCTGGGCCTGCCAATGGAGATGGGTGACTTGAACAATTGCTGCCAAACAAGGATTAGGGCAAAAAGTAATGATAACGAACGGCACTTTTGTTTTCCTGCTTCCAACGCCAAAGCAAAGTGGTATAAATGGTCAAACACAAGAATTCCAAAACAAGATAAAGAATCGAGGAAGGCATGTATGCTGCTTCGATCATATGTCCATACTCCAACGGTATGGTCGTATTTGTTCAAATTGACCCATTCCGACATCATCGGGGTGGTCGTTGATTTCCAGTTGTAAAAGCTGGACTTTGTTGTTATCACGGTGTAGAGTAGATAGGGTTTTCGAAATGGCTGGGCGGTAGACCTTGCTTTCATCGGTCGCTTTGGAGGCAGGTCGCGAAACTGGGGTCTCTGGACAACGCCATGACATTCCATCTTCCGACTCTGCTGGCGAGGATAAAGGTGAAGGAGGTTCTGAGGGTGAATGGAGCGACGCGATCACAAAGTTAGACTCATCGCGTCCATGAGCGTGCAAATTTGACGATGGACGGCGAATCCGAGGGCTTTGTTCGGGGTCCGATGCTCTTTGGGCATGGTAACTGGGGTGTACGGTAATCGGGGAGGGCTTGGGAGGCTTGCTCTTCTCGGGGACGGAAGAAAGAGCAGCAGAAAGTTGTAGTTGACGCTGTCGTTGGTTTCGTTCGGGCAATACCACGTCCTCATCATCCTCATCTAGTCGCGAGCTGCCAGGGGGACTACAACGGACCGAAATGCGGGACCGCTCCTTTCCCGCCATGACCTTGGCACTAGGCGGAGGCTGCAGCATCCATCTCGTCTCCGCTCTGCTCTTGGGACCACTTACGATGGGCGGATGTAAGTCATTGACGGGAGGAACGCGGGCAATGTAGTATTTGCTGGGTTCTTTAGCGCCCGCCTTTCCGTGACCGGAAAGACCAACCGAGGAACCTTTGACTTCAGTTTCCTCACCCCATAAGGGTTCATCTTCACGCTGGTACCGCATGCGACCCCACCGATCTCCTCGAAGGGGTCTCTTATCCTTCTTTTGCGACGACAACGGGCCTTCCACATCCGCATCCATGCTGCAGTCCGACATATCATCAACGTTCCAACTATCGGTGCGACGATTGAGGGCGCGATGGTTTCTGGCGGGAGGCCCTGGGCCTAATGCGATTTCCTCGTTCCATCCCGGATTTGTACTGAAGGGGATCGGTTGGACGAACGGTCTGGGTTGATCGGTAACGAGGGCTTCAGACCTTTCCCTTTCGCGTTTCGAGCGGACGGCATCTTTTAATCGCTTTCGACGGTCGATGGAATTGGCACACGGTGTACAGGAGGCGTAGTAGAAGACGGCGGATTGGACTCCTCTATAGAGCCACATGATTCACCCCAGGAGTGAATGATGGGGAAGGAAGAGGTGTAAGAGGGGGAATATAGCGAGGAGGGAAGTATAGTAGTATTTATGAAACGGCGGATGACGATAGACGGGATACGACGGGGAGCACTCCGAAACAAGCCAAGGAGGCGATAGAGTTCAAAAGCTCAAGATGTGCACGGCGTCTGAAAACACGGAATAATCGAGTTCGTAGTATACTGGGACGATAAAGACCACATGAAGGGCGTCTTGGGGGGTCAGGGAGGTCGCGTATGGCGATGAATAGGGATATGCGGCAAGGCAGATTGCGAACGGAGATCGTCCAGCGACCTGCAACGTCAGAAGGGAGGAGACAGAGAGAGAAGTGACAGCCTGGGGCTAAAGGGAAAGAAGGAGACAAAATGAAAAGAAAATCAAAGCAAGAGAGCACCTCTACTGGAGAGGAAAGAGAGTGTCAGGAGAGAGAGAAAAAAGGGAAAGTGAAAAGGAAAGAGGAGAATATGGAGAGGGGCGGCTTGGAGTGGAGGCACCGTTTAATTGAGGCGGTCGCGGTTAGGGGGATTGATTATACATAGTAGTTATGCACGGTAGTACTATTTATTACTGGTGACTCCGGAGAATATTGGGCATTGCTACAGGCAGCATCATCTTCTCTTTATTTAAGAGCTGAACATACAGTAGCACTGCTGCACTGGCATTCTTATACAAGTACGGAGTACTGGGTCTCTATACGGGGATAACCTCAATTAAAGCCAGAGCCACGGCTTGAAACGTCCCGTCGGAGCAGCCGGAGCGAAACTGAAAACTCTCTTCACGGAGAAATTCCCAAAGAATATACTCTCGCTTAGGTTTACTACTATTAATCACTCGTGTTATATACGAGCAGGAATGCCATGCAGAGCATTGTGGCTGGTGCCCGAATTCCCCAAACCCCATAACATAACCATATGGCAACCAGTCACACGGAAACACACGGATGCTTGGCCCCAATCTATTTTCTACCTGGTAACGTGTCTGCCTTGGTCACCGCTTTATTACCCATGTTTGCTTGTAGTTATTCGTCTGGTAGAAGTTCTCTGTCTGTATTGTCTGTATAGTAGTTAATTGGGTATCTCCTCCGAATAAGCTCTTCCAATCTCCTCCCCGACAACAATTAATTCATGACTCGTCGCGAGGAATTCAGATCGGAGGTCGTCAACACTGCCCCTTTAGATTAACATCAATCACACCACCTATAGCTGTCATCCTCCGTATAGTAGTAATCTCACCACGGGTGTCGTTCGCGCAGGATTGGTCCACGGCCGTAGTACTCCGTCCTCGTATAATGCCAACCACACGCACTTTCCCAAGCCGGACAAAGAAAATAAGAGAGAAAGCGTGAGAAATGTAGTCCAGGCAATGGTCAGACACCGATAATCACCAACACCGTTCCCAAGACCAGCCGAAGAAAAGAAAAACGGTAACAAAAGTCAACCGGATCTCCGTCTCACGCATTCTTCGTCCCTCGCACAACCTCCCCGCGCACCTTCGTCCAGTCGATATCATTATCAATTCCCTCGTCCACCTCTCCACACACCACCACATTATCTCCCCGGATTAAGTACAGTCCATGTTCGATCTGCGAGCTGGGCTCGGGGTCGTCCGGCGTCCGGATGATGCGCTCAACGGTATTCAACAATGCGAGGTTCGTCAACTGGTCAGTTGATAGGAGCGTGCCCACGAGCGTGCGGCCATCGACGGTCAAGATGAGAACCTTTTCTGTACGACAGTGATTAGTGTTAGCCAAAGGAGCTGAGTTCTGAATACTTGATGTGATGAAAGTAGACTTACTGTTGATGTACGGATTGAGAGACATGGCGAAGCAGGGAAATGCGAGGGGCGGATCGGGTCGTGTCAAATGGTTTCGTTAGAAACAGAACCCCTGTCACGTCCTAGTGCGAGGAGCCGCAAGAGTGTCTGTGATTGCTTTTGTCGCTTTCCCCGCAGATTCAGGACAGAGTAAAACAACCTCAAAGCGAAACCTGGTGCAAGAGACCTTTTCCCCTTTCCTTCTCTTCAAAATCGTATCTCAAGCCCAAAATCCTGTAATAATCCTCTTGATCAATTGTCCGTCAAGCTAGTTCGTCTGGATAATTCGTCGCTGGACGTGTAGATGAATTCAGTTTCGCATCCACGTAGCGGTACGTTCACGTGGTTTTCTCGCTTTTCGGGGCCCAGTCGGCTTGAAAAATGCGTCACAGGTCGATAATGCAGCTCGACTTTGTCTGGCTCCGGCCTTGGATTTGGGGGTATCGTTGCTGATGTTGTTGTGTCTGTTTTGCGCTTCGTTTCGTCGCTCTGCCGAGGAGGATAAACCCGACCTCCGAAGCTTACCCAGTCACGTGTATGATATCACCTTATCGACTTATCTGCTTTATCTACATTGTTCTGGCCGATAAACTACAATTGGATATTCCAATGGGTAAAATGTAAAGCACTTCCATTAACAATATATGCAAGTTACAAAAGAACGACAAAAAGACCACCGGATGCTGCAATCTAGAAAAACCCAACTCAACCACTCAAAGCACTCAGATCAAGAGGCACGCTGCTTCCCCGTCCTGCACGGTATCTTCGTACCTCTCGTGAGAATGGCCTTGGCTTCGGCAAGAGTCCTTCGCTTTGGAACTTGAACCGATTGTCATCCACCGCAAGAATTCCGTGTCCACCAGCTGCTCCCAACGATGGTCCGCCGTTGCTAAGCGTATAAGCTCCTGTCTCTTGTGGTGGAGCACGCGGAGGCGGCGGTGAGGCCCGGGGAGCTGACGGCGGTGAAACTGGGGGGCGCGGAGGAGGTGCTGCGGGTGCTGATGAGGCTGGAGGAGGGGGCGGCGGTGCCGCTGGTGCTGATTCCTTGTGCCCAAGAGCGTTTCGAGCTGCTTGTACGGCTATCGAAGCGCCACCAATTCCATTCTGTGGTGGTGCGGACGGCGGAGGCGGAGGGGTCGATCGTGCTGGGCCGGGAGGAGGAGGGGGTGGCCGCGGAGCTGCCGGCGGAGGCGGAGTAGGCGCAGATGGAGCAGAAAAAGGCGGGGGAGGAGGAGCGGGAGTGGAAGGTTTTCTTGGAGAAACTGGAGGAGGTGGTGGCTTTGACGACCCCGGCAGCGGAGGAGGTGCGCGCGGCGGTGGTGTGTCTGGTGCGGTCCTCGATGACACGGTCGACGATGGCCGGGAGGCCGGTCTCGGCGGCGGTTTGCGAAGAGCGGCAACCAACGGATTAGGCGCAGGAGGCGATTCTGTGGAGGGTGGTAGTGGGGGAGGGCGAGCGCCTGGTGGTCTAGGAGCTGTTGGGGGCTTTGGTGCGGACGCAGCGGGTGGTTTAGGCGCCGAGTTGTTCGAGACATACGGCGAATCTTGTTTGTTGGCTCCCGTATCGACTCCTCCTCGACTGCGCAGCTTGGGCATACCCCCCGCGAAGAGTCCACCTAGTTGAGCGGCCGGGGCACTCGGGCCACTGTCAACCCCTGAGCCAGCTTCGCTGCCACTTCGTAGTCGGTTGCCTGAGGGAACAGGTGGTGCAGCTGGCGGCCTGGCCATAGTAGGAACCGGCGGAGCGCCAGCAACAGGAGGACCACCCGTATTCCCACCTGAGCCTCCTCCAACGACCGGCGCCGATCTGTCATTGGTAACGGCCTTTTTCAAACGAGTTCCCTTATTGATATCTGAAAGAAGTGCGCCCTGTTAAGGAGGTTGAGTATGTCAGCAACTGAGCGTGCGAATTCCAAGAACCATTCGCATCCATCAACACCATGAGCCTACCCGATCTTTTGTTTGTCCCTTCGATGGTCTGCTCGGCAGGTTTCCTGGAGGTGGAGGTGGAGGAGGGCCTCCCATCCCTCCGGGCGGCGGAGGGGGAGGAGGAGGAGGCGGCATTCCGTGGGGATTGAAGCAAGCGGCGCAATCAGATAGACTTCAAGAAAGAAATTGCGCAGAAATCCAGTCGAGTTGGTGGTGTAGAAATACGCTCGCGGAGGTGGAATGGACAGATCGTGAGTTACCTTGGAGTCAGCGACAGGGCAGAGCGAGAACGTCAGGCAACGAAAGCGCGCTTCTCCGTAGTGGCGGTGCTTATGGGGCGGCAGAAAGGCACCGCTTTTTCTTGAGGCATCGATTTTCCGCTGAGGGGAGAAGACACCCGATTAAGCAGCTCAAGGCTCCAACAATCATAAATTATGAACGGAATTGCTTTGAGGGGGCAAAAGACGCCACGGCCCCAAGGGCTGGTCTGTCAATTCTGCCAGTTTTCCAAGCCACCGACGCGCCGTCGCACACCATTCGCACGGCAGTATGCCTCGGCCAGCCCGCTGCACCGGAGTGGGCATTTGGGGCAATTGCGTTCGAAAACTGGGCTGAAAACACCGTCGATCTCCTCACCATTAGCGACTAGAAGATTCGAGTCGAGCACGTCCCAAAAATCCCCTCCCCTGGACCCCGAAGCAGCCCTGCAGGAGGTAGCACATGAAGCCTCAATAATCCACAATACCGATTCGGTCCCCCCCGATGCATCCGTGGTGCAACTACTCGAGAAATGTCAAGCTATCGCAGAGGTGCTTGTGTCCAGAGAACAAGATCACCAACGGGAAGCGTCCTCCGCACCCAGAGAAGAAGGAAATGTGATCTCGTCCCTGTTAGACCTGGAGGAGAAGAACGCAAAGAAACATCCCGTACCAGCCGGGAACACCCACCCACAACTAGTCAACTCCGTGTCGCGAATTGCCAATGATATCGTGAAGGATGAGAAGGTCTTCATATCCCCCAGCGTGCTGGCATGTTATACCGAGATCCAGACTCTACTGAACAACGCCGAACACTTCCCCGAAACCTTCCACCTATACGCCCACAAGCCAGTCCCAGAGCAGAACACCTCGCCAGTGAAATACCACAAGGCGAATGCCTCCAACATCAACTCCGCCGTCCCCTCCGAACTAGCCAACATGGCCCTCGACGTCGCCATCGAGCAACGAAACCTCTCCCTCGTCCTGGCCATCATCGACAACACATTCTGCACCAAGGCGTTCCACCGCTCTAAGGTCTTCCGTAAAGCCAGTGCTCCACTACTAGGTATGGCCACTGCCCCGGTAGCCTGCTACAGTATTGCATCTTGGGCGTCTAGCCTGCAGAACACGATGGATTCTAGTACGGCAACGGGTATTGCTTTCGCGGCCGGTCTTGCATATGTTGGGGGCGTGTCGTCGATTGGTGTTTTGGCTATCACGACGGCTAATGATCAGATGGAGCGGGTGACATGGTTGCCTGGTATTCCCTTACGGCATCGTTGGCTTCGGGAGGAGGAGCGTGCTGCTATGGATAAGGTTGCTCTTGCTTGGGGGTTTAAGAGCATTGATTACAGAGGCGAGGAAGAGGGTGAGGAGTGGGAAGCTCTGCGGGAGTTTATTGGTATGAGAGGAATGATTTTGGATAGGACGGACCTGATGCCTGGGATGCAGTAGTCATCCATAACTATACCATGTAGCGATATTTCTTTCATGTACTTCATATTGTTATAGACAATTTCTACGCAGAGAAAACCTCTTCTTCGATAGATGCAACATAATAATAGGAACAAAAGTCGTGAGTTCATATTTCTGTAACAAAAATGTCCTATATACTTCTCACACTTATGCTCCTACCAAACGACCCCAGCGTGACGCATGACAAGACAGCGCAGAGACTCTAGTACAGACGCTTGGGGGGAGACATGGAAGCCTTGATGACAAGGCTGCCAACGTTCTGCCAACCCTTCTTAAGCAGGGAGACGAGGTAGTTGATGGCCAACATGATGTTAGCGACCAGCTCGTCCTGAGTCATGCCAACGTTGCCGACGGCGACACCAAGGCACAGCACCTTCTTGAGCTGGAACTTGATGGTCGACTTGACGTCGGTGACCTTAGCGTTAAGGTCCTCGGCGTGGGAGACCGGGGTAGGGAATTTACCGGCTAGAATTCATGTCAGTAAAATATGTTTTCTTTTCTTTTTTTTTTTTTTCCCTCTTCGAAAATGGGGGGCAACATACCCTTGGAGAGACCGGGACCCAAGAGACGGGGAATCTGCTTGATGAGACCCTCGGAAGCGACGAAAGCATCATACTTGCGAGCAAGCTTCTTGATGAGCTTCTTGTTCTTGTTCAGCTTACGGAGGTCCTCAGCAGACATGCCATCGAGGCCGTGGTGCTTAGCACGGTCAAGATCGTGCTGGTCACCAAGAACACTATAGTCCAACCGTCAGTTGTTTATTCCTTTTCCCATTCGTTTATCGTCATCCTGCGATGTTTTTTTTCTCATCGAGGTTTCGAGGTCAAACGCACCAGATGGACATGTTGGGACGAGGGACAGAGGGCAGCTTGATGGTGCCGGAGAAACGCTTGTCACGCTGGGGGTCGTAGTTCTTCAGACCGATCTGAAGCTCGACGGTCTCGAGGAAGTTCCTCTTCTTCTCATTCTGAGAGTAGTTGAGCAGCTGCTCGACATTCTGGCGCACTCCGGCTGTCGCACACAAAATCGTATTAGCCATCTGATCCTTCCAAGAACATTCCCAATGTGATCAAAACCATGGATAACTTACCGACTGTGATCTTAGACATGATGGCGACAGTCTTCCAAAAGAAGTTCTTATGGTGAGGCTCTGCGCTGAACGTCGTTGCGAGGACGAAGAAAAAAAGGGCACTCGGCCGCTGTGAGAAAATCGTCTCCGCTTGTGGGTGCGGGTGGCGCTAGCCGCTTCGGGGATAGCGGTGCCCTAAGCGATGACTAAGCGTATACAGGACGAGTCTCGGCGGAACGATACCTTATTTTTACCTTAGTTGTCTTGATATTATGGGGGTTTGTTTGTGACTGGAGTTTATAATCGCAGGAAATCCATGTCACAAGAGTTGGCATATACGTGTTTCAAGTATATACAATCATTGGCCGTGAGCCATTCTATTGTCAAATCCAATGCAAATAACCGAAAAAGAATAAGCTGGCAACAGAACATAATCAAGCCGTGAACCCGAGGTATCCCCAATCCCAAATCTGACTCAGCCCACCGAGATCCATATCAGACAAATCATTGAGACTCGTCAGTTGAGGCATTGTAACTCCCGCATTATAGAACCCCATCCCTGAAGACGATGACATTCCAGGATCAAAGGCACTCGTGGTCGGGGGTGCCCCAAACATACTGTTCGTATATCCAGGAGGAAATTGCTGATTATCATGATGACTATCAGATGGGGTTCTGGGACCTCCTCCTGTTGATGAACTTCCCGGCGACATGGACTCATGCAATATCCGTTCTGTCAGTTCTTGGGGAAGTTGCGGCACGATTCTTCTAAGAATCGCATAGCATGTTGCACCGAGCTTGGTGTTCCGGACCTGATCTAACATGATTAGAGCAGAGCCAATCGTCTCGATAATCTTTTCCCGCTGGGGAAGTGAGTAGTCGCTGTCATGGGCGATAGCGGAACATAGGCAAGCGGCCGTGTCGAAGATGAGGAAAGTCGCCAGGTAGAACTTGGCATTTATGGGAAGCAAGCAGTCTAATAGCTGACGGGAGATCTCCATCAACTTCAATGCGCAGTGAACGGCCGTCTGTCGCATGTTCTTCTCGGTATCTGTCATCGAGTCGACGCTCCTTGTGAGGGTCAGCTTCACAGGGAAGAAAATCATCATGTGTCCTATAGCCTGCAATTGATAACGCTGGAACGTCACGTAGTGGTAATCTTTGTCCCAACGCATGTCCGGGTTTGTGATGCCATAAGCTTGCGGGAAGGAAGCCATCCAATTCTCAGCTGTTCGTTGAATGGAGTATGTTTGTTCAGGCGACATGATACCCCCTGGAACTTCAGGTATCTTTGACATCTCTTTGCCCAGTTCGCATTGGAGGGCGATGTGTGCCATCGGGGACGGTACTCCTTCTGGCATATCAAGGCTCTCCAACCGCAGATTGGGCAGTTCAAAGCTGTAATAATTGGTGTTGATGACAAACGGACGCGCTAGCATAAGAGACATTTGCCTTTTACAGTGAGTTATAATTCTGTCCGCGAATTGCAAGAGGGCTCCTTACCAGTCCCAAGCATATAGGAGACACCAAATTCGTCTCCTCATCTCCTTGTCAAACTCAGACAGTTCCGAGCTGAAAGATCGCTTATACAAGCCTGTCGGATTGGTCAATTAATCTCAGTCACCAAGGCCGGTCAGGTTGTATTTGCACTTACCCAATTCTTGCGCCTCGTGAATGGAAGCGCTTAGCGAGTGCCAGGACTCGATAAAAAGACCTTCTTTCTTGTACCAGAATGCCATAAGGAATAGCTGCTGCACTTGCGCTAGGCCACCTTTACCTGGGGAAACGGTGCCGCTTAACCGTTGGGCAGCGTTATGATAGCGTTCGGATAAGGATTGGACGCTTTCACCCAACTCTGTTTCGAGCTTCTGTTGCAGTCTCATATCGAGATAGAGCGCTGAGCATGCACATACTCGCAAAAGCAGACATGTGAATTGGGGAGTCAGTACTTGAGCCCGAGTCCTGTTTGTCCACCATACGGAATAATCGTAGGAGAACATTGGCGGATACAGAGCATAGTAGTGATAATTTGTATCACCCAGGAAATGTTGCACCAGGATGTCTAAATAAAAGTCAACAGAAGTTTTCGTTACCGTAGTCGACTTGCTTACCTGTATAGGGCTTCGGAGGGACCGCTCGCAAGGCGCTCTCCATCTCAGGAGACAAGGCCTGGGGCACTTTTGAGATTGCTGCGGAACCTTTTGACAATCAGCTATGACGCTCAAGAAACATGGTTCATCAATTCATACCTCGGTGTTTTCGACCGGCGAGTATTGCTCATTAGGAAGATACCCTAAGATCCGAATATCCTCATCGCCGGTGACGTCTGGGATAGCAGGTTCAGATGGGGTTTGTTGGATTGGCACATTGACACCGTGATTGCTACTGTCATTGCTTTCTACTGGTCTGGTATTCGTATTAGACAAGCAATACATAAAAGCATCGGACTTCATACAAACCTTGCATTTGTGTTATTGACGGTCGGAGCACCCGCCCTCAACACCTTCCTGGGTGCAAATTTACACAGATGCGGCATTCGTCTCGTCTGACAGTGATTACATGGCCACTCCCGGCTGCACTATTGAAATGTCAGGATTGTTTACCCGGGTAAAAACAACGGTTCCGTTGGACATGGGCGCGATGAGCTTGCCTTTTGCTTTCGGCGTTGACACTCTGTACATGCCGCCGCAATGCGAACGGTTCTGCCCTGCTCCGTTTGGGGTGCCATGCTGCAAGCACTCAGCCGGGATAATTGCAGATTAGCAATATAATAACGAAAATAAGTACCAGGATCAATTGAAGAGACCAGGATACCGAACTGCGACACCCTGGTGACTAATCGCCCCGCTAGACCCGAACAGTCGCCGTGGATCCTAACGTTAGGCTAGCCTGATTAGGAAATAGCGGTACTTTTGACCCATGACTTCCAACCGGGCCAGATCTAAATAAAGCACAGTTCACTATGTATAACAAAATCCCAAATAACATCAGAAACAGATAACCATGGATTAAATCCTTGACAACGGGCCGACCCAGAAGTGCCGATTTCGCAGTCGCTGCGACCAATCATGGCAAGGCATCTGCCAACAGCGACGCGCCCGTGTGCGACTTGGCGGCTAAATCAGCTTTGTTGAGAGGGTTCCGGCAGGCAGTCACAAGACAAGGCTGTATATCGCGGATGACTACGGTCATTTGCGAGGTGAATGATAGATCGGCAGTAGGTATAAATATACGGGGCTCTTTTCCTCTTTCTTGTAAATAGTAAATTATTTCTTGTTGGCAGCATTCAGCTGTAGTCCCTGTCTATACAACAAAGTACCTTTCAGTCCGAAAATGACGGAATCTTCATCGTGGGCTTTCCAAAAGCCGTACGAATATTACTCGAGTTTTGAAAAGCAACCCCACCTTTGCGACAAATTTCGCGACATTGATGACGAGGCGAACTTCCGGACATATTTACACCTGCTCGAGGACGCGCACACGCATAATTTCGTGCTAGATTTTGGGAATGAAGACGCATGGTGCGCAGTGAATTTGCAAAGGGACGACATCGGGTCGCTACTTCGCAGCCCAGTAAGTGTTGATTGGGGTCAACAAAGAACAAGCTTGGTTAGGATCGCAGGTTGATCCATTCGTCGTATCTAGAAACCAAAATGTCTTGGGACACGGTGGATGTGAGATAATTTACCATCAGTCTAGTGCGGGCATTCTTGCTGACTCTAATAGTAATATCTGGGCCCCAGAGGAACAGAAAAAGACGATCAAGGTTAGTTTCTAGTATGGAAATGCGCCGCATGTCAAACTGACTCTCCAAGACAATCATGAGCCATTATGGCGTGTCGGAACGATTGCAAGGAATGATGTGCACCGAGCCCGTGGTACAATCACCGACACCAAAGCCCGAAGAACCGGTTCCCAGTCCCCCCGGCGCGAGTACTCTTCGTTCGAGACGTTCGCGACACAAAAGCTTTGATCAGCCAAGGCAGACCCGAGTAGATGACCTCGAGAGCGGGGTTTCGTTGGGAGATTTGGATACCGAGGAGATTCACAGAGCTGCGTCGTTCAAGGGTCTCACATTCGCGCAGGTTGCAAACCAGATTTGGCATTTCTGTTCTGTGGATCATGGTCCGAGATGTGCGGCAACAACCTATCCGTGTCTCTGCTTGGAACATGCTAATGGATATTCCAGATACTTGTATCGGATATAATTCCCTCTATGTGACTTCGAAAGTTCAGATGAGCAATGGGAAAGATTTACCAGATGGGAAGCGGTTGTGGTCATGGCTCATACTTTTCGATGATGGTACGGCATATCTTCTGTTCAAATGCTTACTTTTTTTATGCTGACTTTATCCAAGGTACCGTCGTGTCGATACAAGAGAACCCCTATCCCAGACCAGCAGGACCGTTACCAGATGAAATCAGAACCGTCCTAGGAACAGTACGCAGAAACATCCGATTCATCTTCTCCGGTGTATCTAGTCAGCATTCCGCCACATCTGAAAGCGAGTCGCTGGTCACGATTAGGGTACGGGGTCTCAACAGCAGCGCCGCGCCAGACCAGAGTATCAAACAAGAAGACAGCCCTAGCTTGCTTTTCTACTATATCTTCGACGACTGGTTTTCGAGTTATAGTCTTGTTGCGAAGCGCGAGCACAAGTATGGAGTGTCACTTGATCAATTGGTACGAATCCCGTAGCTCCGTGTTTTTTTTTTTTTTTTTTTTTTTTTTTTTTCACTTATCTGACGAGAAATACAGAGAGGAGATATGTTAACCAGACCCGCGGTCGAATTGGTTGGCGAACTACACTGGCTAGGTCGACAGTTGGCGGTTCTGAAACGGGTATACCAAAGCTACGAACTCATCATGTGGCGTCTCCTACAACGACAGCGCCTGCTCCGTGAAGAAGCAAAGAATCGACCAGCGTTCACGGTTGGTAACGCGTTTATGGAGAGCGAGTTTGGAGATCTGCGACAGCCGACACAGCAGAGCAACTTAAGCTTGATTAGCAACTATGATACCCAAGTGGGAGTTCAATTGAGCTCTGCGTCTGTGGCTCGATTTGAACGGCTGTTAGATCGGATTAAGCTCTATTGTCTGTCGGAAATTGATGCATGTTTGGTAGAAAAGGAGTCTTTGACATTCCTGGTGAGTTCCATCCCATTCCCTTGATGAATCCCAGGTGCTGACTGATTGAACCAGAACTTCAACTTAATCGCCTTGAAAGACTCCCAAGCCGTCGAGAGGTTAACAAGAGTAACCGTCCTGCTGGCCAAAGTGACAATCCTGTTCCTGCCTGTCAGTCTAATGACCGGATATTTCTCGACTGAACTCGTGGAAGTCAAAGGCGTATACACGATCAATCAGTACTGGGTGAGCTTTGGGGTGATCGTGTTCCTGTCGTTTGTCCTGCTGGTGGTGTTTGGTGTTGCTAGTGATACAGTGGAAGGGAAGACGATTTACGCGTCGTTGTTCCGGACGTTCTTTCGGTTTTCGAAGCATCGAATATCGCCTCAAAGGGAGGGCATTGAGCGGAGCTGATTTATTGGGAAACCACGTAAAATGGTGATGTTATTCTTGTATTTGTAGCCAACAGAAAAATCAATATACACCATGCTTTTATCTTATGAGACTCAGTACAACATATAGATCACAGATCAATTAGGAATAGCTGGTGTCCTATTCCAACTTCCTGTTAAAGATATTTGGCAATGTCGATAAGATCATGCGCATTCAGCTGGATATCTTTTTCACGGGGCCCAGGCCTACGATCAAACAAAGCCCGGAAGTGGATGTACATCCGCGTGTTCTTGATTATTCGATCCTGGCTGAATTGTCCCATTTGCGAGACGTACTGCTGCTGCTCAGCAGGATGCTGCAGAGCCAGAGGGGGCATTTCCAGATATGGCTTTGCGAAATAGGACCTCTCAGGGGGTGACTGGCCCTTCTTTGTTAGCTGTCGCATCTCCCAGTTGATAATTTTCTTTGCTCTGTTGATCAACAGAGTGATCACCATGCGAACTCGACCATAGCTATTCTCGAACCACCAGCTGGCGTCCTCGATCACCTTTTCTTGGGATTCACTCGTCCCCGACACAATGACGAGAGTCGGCCACTTGACTTCTTCTGCAGGTAGTTCTCTTCTCATTGGTGGCAAGAAACAATCATCAGGCTGCTTCCCACCACGTCCAGTTAGCGAGGGATAAGCCTTGGTACTCCCCCATCCAAAGTCACGAAAACGAACGGCCCTGTTAAGAAGGGCGTCGGTGATCTTGTCAGCCAGCCTTCTTGTAGTCATGGTATAAGCAGGCGATGGGACGATTCTGATTTTCCCTGTTTCGCCTTCCCAGCTAAGTCTGCAAGTAACGCTGTCCATCATTTTGCGGTACTCGCCTAGGAGGACCGAGGCGCCTTTGGGCAATCTTTTCACCACGAGATATTGGTTTCCGGTTTCGCCATTTTCATTGAGCTTGCGATGAATGGCTTCTGCTTCTTGTTGGAGTGCTGCTATATTTTTAAATTTGATGACCACGGGGTCAGGTGGTGGTTTTGATGTTAACTTCATATTGGTTTGTTGAACTCGTTAGAGACGGAAAGATGTTAAGAGTCATTGTCAAATTTTGTGTGGACAGATAGGCAGAAAAAAAAAAATGTCGATGTAAGTATGAGCGAACAGGCATCTTTAGGACTTGAGCTTTATCGGAGCCCTTGTTCGGTACTCATACACAGCCATCTTAGCGGCGCGGACAGCATCCATAGATTCCCTTTTAGTATGACGCGTAGAGGCCCACCACCAAGTCCAGAACTCAGGGAACCTATCAGCGACTGGGGACACATAATAAAGTGGTGTGTCTGTGGCCTTTCCATACATACTTGAAGAGGCAAAGACACGGCACAAATATGGTGCGGAAACACCGTGTCCTCTTCGGAGAGGGAATTTGTATGTAGAAAAAGGTGGTATTTCTGACGGACAGATAGGCCTGATGATATTGGCTATATCTTGTTATAATTTTCTCCTTTTAGAATACTCCATTTTAATTCATTTCTATAACTGTTTCTGTACCTAATATACCTGTACCTGCTCTTGTTCACGGCTTAGTGACGGAAGCTACGCCGACCGCCGCACTCCTCGACCTGGCACCAAATTATTATTCCAACTAACCACTTGGACTGTTCTATATTCACGTCTCACGCTTTTCTTTTTCTCGTCTTCAGCGTCACGTTTTACTACACTAATATCACCTTATCTCTTTCTCTCTCTCGGTAAGTCACACTCAGATCTCCTGCTGCCTCGTGGTTTGTCTGTCTACCTGGCCTTTTTTTTGGGCCTACAAGTATTTTGCTACTTGTGTCCTTGTCGTCCGCCGCATGAGATTCTTCCCTTTCCCTTTCCCTCTGTCTTTTCCACCCCTGATTCATCACACTTCATCGTCTTCACCGTTCTTCTCCTCCTTTTCTTCTTGTTCAGCCTTAACCTTCCTCGGAAAGGAAAAAATCCCGAATCCTGTTGTTTCCCTCGTGCAGTCGGTGCTTACCCCGTGTCCTTTAATATCTCATCCAAAAACACACCACCACCACCACCACAACCACCACCACCACCACCGCCACTACCCCATTCCTTCCATCACCGAACATCTCACTCTCTGATCTCGTCCTTATCTAACACTTTTGCGCTTTTCTTTTCAGGGCCTCGAGGACATACTTTCATCACCGCAAACATGGGTCTCACCTTCTCGAAGTTGTTCGACCGACTATGGGGACGTAAGGAGATGCGAATCCTGATGGTCGGTCTCGATGCCGCCGGAAAGACCACCATCCTGTATAAGCTGAAGTTGGGTGAAATCGTCACCACCATCCCCACAATTGGTCAGTCCTCTCTCCTTCGACCACCACGTGTATTCTAGGGTCGTCTCCATCATCGGAATGTTTTGCGCATGGAACACAGTCTGTCGGGTATTAAGCACGTGGAACTGACATCCGGCCTTTAGGTTTCAACGTCGAGACCGTCGAGTACAAGAACATTCAATTTACCGTGTGGGATGTTGGTGGTCAGGACAAGATCCGTCCCCTCTGGAGACACTACTTCCAGAACACTCAGGGTATCATCTTCGTTGTCGACAGCAACGACCGTGACCGTATCGTCGAGGCCCGCGAAGAGTTGCAGCGCATGCTGAACGAAGATGAACTTCGTGACGCTCTTCTCCTTGTTTTCGCTAACAAGCAAGATTTGCCGGTATGATTTCTGTCACATGCGATTGCGGCTCGATACTGGATACTGATTGCCTACCTTCTAGAACGCCATGAGCCCCGCCGAGATTACCCAGCAGCTTGGTCTGCAGAGCCTCACCCGCCGTGCTTGGGTAAGTTGAACTCATCACTGATGTTCCTGCCGCCGTTTACTAATGTTATCTTCTCTAGTTCATCCAATCCACCTGCGCTACCACCGGTGACGGTCTCTACGAAGGTCTTGAGTGGCTCGCCGACGCTCTGCGGAAAACGAACCGTGACTAAACCCGTTGTAATGAGATGAACTGGAAGAGATTATACCTAGAACTTGCTTGGCAGGGAGTTGCGGGTGATGGATGGGATATTGGGGCCGCCAACAGAAAAAGTCAAAAAGGCACCACGTGTAGGGAAGGGAACTGTTACCTCGGTGCTTTTGTGTTCTCTAACGGCTCTTGATTTTATGCTAATAGCTTCGTTTCTCTTTCGTCCCGGCGTCGATCCAACGAATACTCTTGTGTTTTAAACCGTTTTTATTATTTCATTTCTTTTCTCGCTTGTGTTTTTCTCTCCATGTGCGTTGCTACCTTTTTGAGAACAGAATTTACGATTCACCTGAGGATGGTCACGAGCATTGTCTTTTATGTCTTTATAGCACAGAGTGTCTTCAATAGGTATAGGAAAAGAGATTCCGTTGATTATGCTATTAGACAATTACTGTTATATTGACGCCATTTCCTTATCTTCAATCACACACTCCCTCTCCCATTGCAACCCCTTTCCACTAACCCAACAGACGGCCGCCCGCACGATCTCAACAACAACCCTCAGCTCCTTCTCATCCCTCGGCGCATACACCATCACAAACCCCGGCGGCAACGTCCTCCCCGTTCTCAACACCTGCCACCACCAACTCTTCTCCCGCGCAATGGGATGTCTCTGCCCCCACCCATTGGCCAAAACCACCTTAACATCCGCCGGATGCAGACTCAAATGCAAACTCCCATCACTCGGATGCGCATGACACACCTCTCCATTACAAGTCACGCAAGACCTAAACTTCTCCGCGACAAATATCCCCATACTATGTTTCTCAAAACACGACGTATCAGTATACAACCCGTGCGTATGCGCATGCGTCTGCACCAACGTCGATAACTCCCGACTCAATACCTCATACGTCGTCTCATTCCCCTGCTGCGTTATCTGCCGCTGCGGCACTATCCCCTTAACTACTGGTCGAGGACCCTTCCGTGTCGGTAGTGTGTCGGATGCGAGGAATCCGTCCTGGGGTTGTAAGGTCGGGGGTAGACGAGGTGGTTCGAAGGGGTTGCGGAGGGCGAAGGGGCGGAGGCAGCAGAAGCCGATGTAGCCTTTTGGGGATTGGGGGACGCCGCCGGGGCCGAGGGAGATGAAGGCGGCGTAGTCTTTGCGGATTGTGTGGGAGAGGAAGAGGAGGGGGGGGATTGTGAGGATTAGGAGGATGATGATGGTGGTGGTGGTGGTGGTGGTGTTATTGTTGAAGTTGAAGTTGAAGTTGAGGTCAAGGAGGGAGGGCAGTAGTGGGATTGGTGGGTGGTGGTTTGTCTGGTTGTTGATTTGTTAGATGGATATACAATTGGTGGTTGTTGTGGCGAGGTTGCTTACCATGACCGTTGAGTATTCTGTATACTTGTATTCCGCAGTGTTCAATAGATATGAGCAGAGCTGGTGCAATGCACCTCAGGAATAAACTATACAATGCTCTTATATTCACACTACGTATAGTCCATGTGACATATATTTCTGTGGTTGATAACCACTAAACCTGGAATGTTCTGGCCATTCCCCGTCGTCAAGGTTGCATCATGCTCCACTCCTTACTTTCTCGTAGTATACACTCCATACTCCGTACTCCGTGAAAATAGCACACAAATAGCCCAAGGATAGACTCAAATAACATTTACACCGTATGGAGTACTCAATATCCAATTCCAATAAAGCAATACTATACACGTAGTTACTCGTACTATGTTAAAGTAAAGGGTTCACATCTGACCACCAGCCAGCCACCTATCGCCACCTACATATGGAAAGACCTCCGTACAGCACTATTTGTACATAGTATGTATATGACCCCGTGGCATAAATCCTCCGATGATCCATGGTCATGCGGTGTACACAGCTCTTGTACAAAGTACAGAACAGAGTCTGGCCGCTGACAGCATGATACATACAATGCACCCGCGAAGCCAGGCAGGCAGATTTGCATTGTTGTACGATGCATAGCAGTTATGTACGAAGTGGCATTTTCGCGATGCACGGGACGCGACTGTGCAGATGGTCATACTTTGGACTGAGTGTTGTGAGATAGATCGATCAGAGTGAATATGGGATATTTGGAAGTTAGAGTTACTGCCTGAGGTATCTGTATCTACAAGGACCATGCAGATGCACTATACCCGGATAGGCAACGATACCTAGTATGGCCTCAGGCCAGTCGAGCAAACAACGTCAGAACTACAAAATGTCAGCTACGCGTTGGTTCTTAAACCACGAGTCCCTAGCAGACGAGGAGAGTGAGTATCTATATATCCCGTCACTGGAAGTATACTGAACCTTCATAACAGAGTTCGAAGTAGTCGCAAACCTACTCAACACAACCCTCAGCGATTTGAAAAAGACGGACCTGGATTGGTTTGAGCAAAGCTGGTACCGCCACCTTCGCGAGGAACTTAATGAGTTATGAGGAAGGAAAACCGAGGTTTGCGAAGATGATCGTGTTTTCCCCCATATTGGCGTCCTTAGAGATATTATTGACGACACAGCCGGGCCATCATGAAAGAGCACGAGTATCGAGCATCTTTGATTGATGACGAGAAACCTCTTGCCCTTCTCTCAGTGAATAGAGCCTTGTTTCCCCATAACATATCAATTGTGAGCATTGATGATTGTCCAGATATTAAGAGAAAACTGCCGCTCAAGAGAAGCCAAGCACGAAGTCCCACAAGCCCTTCTCCAACTCGTCCTATCCTACAACGAGAACCCAGATCTTGACGAGTACGAGGGCTATGTAATCACTATTGAGCATACAGTGGCTCATGTATGTCGAGCGGTTGTGTCTGGGATGTACCTGAGGAATCTCTTTGCGCATCGGCGATTTTCAGAAACATTTGAGCTGCATCGTTCGGAGCCGTTTGATTTACGGAAGAAAGCAGGGATAAGGGAGTTTGTTAGGATTATGGCTGGCTTGCATTGGCATTTTTTGAAGGTTAGTGGGAAGGATAAAGTGGAGCTTAAGGACCGGAAGGGTTGTCTGGTATAGGGGTTACTTATGGGGGGACGCTAATTTACTTGTGATAAAATATCTAAAATATCTAAAGCTGGTTGTATACACACTTGATTCTGAGAGAGACGAAATAAACACAGGCAGATGCGCTTGGGTTGGAGCCTGTTGGGTAATTTTAACAGTACTTTCCTATGTTTCACACACCATAATCTATGCTATAAATCACAATGAAGCAAAATGAATTCTCAGAAAGAGCACCCCTCTGTCGATGCTCATCCGCCGTCTACTCACTTGCTTTTAGAAAAACCTCGAAAATGGACACCTGCGCACGTTCAAGCCGCGAATGTCAAGCTGATTCCCCACGTGTCCGCTGAAAAGCTGGTGGACTCGCATTATTTCCCCAAAGATGGCGATAAAGGTACTTTTTCAAGGATTTCTTTTCTTCAGCATATAATGTTTTATGAAGTTGACAAATTTCTTTGGGCAGGGTTCAAAAGATCCGTTGGGTTATTCAGTAAGAGTGTTTTTGACCAGGATTGCACCGACAATAGGGAGGATCGATTTCGCTTCGGGCGTATTCTCGGCATTTTCGAGGAAGTCTTGGAAGTACCAGTTCCCTCACATCTTCATCCTCATATTGAATTCCTCCAATCTATCATAGAGGCGAGTTTTTTGATCAAGGGGGGATGGGAGTTGTGAGTTTCCCTGGTCAAATTTGTCTACAGGTCTCCTTTTTACTGATAGATGAACAGGAGCGTGCGACAATCCTCAAAAATTCTCCCTCGATATACTTCATTTAAGTATTTGTAATATCTTATCTTGAGAGCTGCCGGGGCGATTGTGAAAATGGATAACCCATGTTCTCGTGTCTCGTGTTCAAAAAGATAGACCCTTGGTTGTTCTCTCAGTGAGTCAAACTCCACCCTCTAGTCAGTTTATCCTAGCGCTAACATCCAGTCCTTTAGATAATCAGAGAGAACCGCCTCTTCAAGGTCGCCCAGCACGTGGTTCCACAGATACACTTCAAGGGCGCTCGTGCCTACACCGAAAACCCACATCTCGAGCAGTATGATGGATATGTGATTACTCTTGATCATACTACCCTCCATGTCTACCGTGGAACTATGTCCGCGGCATATCTGAAAGGTCTGTTTCAAGGAAAATGGCCAGAGCTGTTGGAATTGTACCGTTCTAGGGAGTTTGATTTGTCGGAGGCTGAAGGGCGGAGGGAGTCGTTTAGGGTTTTAATGGGGCGAATTCGGCATTTTCTTGAGTCAAATGGTCTGGTTCGTTCGACCAGAGGAAGATAATTGAAAAGAGCGCAGCATTGGTATCTGGCTGTACATGCCGTTATTGAGTGCCTGGCCAACCAGGAAGGATATGATAGAGATATTGAATTACAGTGACCCTGACAAGATAGGGCCTAACACAGTGATTGATTTTCTCTGTCTACTAGAGAGCATCTAAAGCCGGTGAATATGTCTGATTTGGTCCGTTCATATCGAACAAAGTTCTGTTCCATTCACATCTCTGGCCTTCTTTGTGGGACGTACCCTGCATACTACAAACGCCCCCTCCCTCTCCGCTCCACCCTCTGTCAATTCACTCCTGTCGACCTTCATGGCCTTATCCAGATCTCTTGATATGGATTTTAAATACTAACAGTCAGTATCTTCATTGATTCAGGTGCTCTCTCTATATATACGTTGCTTTATATCAGAAAGGTGTAACCGGGGCCCAGTATTATACCAGCCAGCATTACGACAACATCGCGTTTCACTTTCTATCCACATATCCTAGCAAGACTTACTGATCGACTTTTGTTTCTCTTCTATTACATTTGCATACGGTACTGAAGAGCATCAACTGACTCCTGAGACCGGTATATCTTGCAGATACAATCTCGAATGTTTGAAAGCCCGCGGGTCTTCCGATATTGAGTTCTGGACTCAGTCAAGTGAAGTCGAAAATATAATTTTGCAACACACGGATGTCACAATAAAGATCTCTCGGAGATTTCGCCGGTACGGGGGCAGATTCTACCACTGGAAACACTGAATTCATTGATATGCAAAGCCGGCTCAACTAATATCTTTGCTCGGAACCCAAACAACAGCTAGGGGACTAAAGATCTCATCCGGGGCACCGCTTCTACATTGTAAGATCAAGCTAGGCATTCACAAGCTCTACACAGCTCATACGAAGCGACAGAGATTCTAGAAATTCGAAATCTCGCAAGGCAGCTCGAAGCCGGCTCGCCAAATGTATTTGTGTCGGAGAACGAGAAGCCTCGGTATGACTCAAAATTATAAACAAGAGCCATTTTCCTACCAAAGCTATTTCCATGAATTACCGTGATCACCACGGCCTGAGGGTCTCTGGGTAGCGCTGGGGTGCAAACCATCTCAGGGGTTTGCGCGTGGAATCTCTTGGCGTGAATTCGACACTTTCAGCACATATCCTGACGAATCCCCACTTCCCTAATTCTTTTTTTTTTTTTTTTTTTTTTTTTTTTTATAATTTGAAGAGTTTCGCCGGCTTTGGAGCTAGCTCGTATAATGTACGACAGGTGACTTGAACGCATTCACTTGACTAAAAGTTTCTTTCAGCAGCCCGTACATCCAAGCGAACTGAGATCGTCTTTTGACCCCATAGTGAAGACACGAGCAGGTCACTGTTGTTACAAGTGGCCTTAGGGCACGAAACAAGAGACGGTAGTTGACAGAGCTCGTTGTGCTCTTTCTTCACCGGGTTATCATAACTGAATCTGCTTAGACGACGTTACTATCGGAATAAGAAAAAAGTCATCGCTGTCAGATAAAGACAAACCGGAGGCGATTTTAAAGGAACGTCTAGGAGGATTGGGCATGGCATGGTGATACGCTGTGCAGACAGCAGGGACAGACAATATCACCCAATCATTGCAGGGATAATGGCAGACTACACGGAGCAGGTCCTGATGACATGCAAGAGTGGCCAGGACTGCACAAGATGTACAGTGCTTGCCAATGAGAGCAGCGTAATTATATGATTTATGAGTCCAATCCCTGTCGCAACCTCTTGGATTAAGTCGTGTTCCTTACACCACGAAAATCGGATCAATGGCTAGGTGAGCAACCACACCCATTGGACAAGACCGGACTGATACTTATGCTACTTGTTAAGGCAAAACGCCGACATGCCGGAGATAAGACAGCTGACTACCGAAAACCATATACCCCGGGGTTCCATTTGTTGCCGTCCGACTAACTGCTGGACTTCGTCAAGAGCGCTGTAGAGCGCGTCGCCTAGAAAGATTAGGAGATATTTATTCTGGGAGACACTGTACCTCGCGAGCACTTGTGGTGGCGTCCCTCCTAGCCGTTATACTCAGTCTCTCAGCAATTCGCCTTATACGCTTCTCCAAGCACAGGTTATCCGCTGGGAAAGCTTTCCAAGACAACACAATACACAAAAATCTGACTTGCGTGCGCGTTCATATCGAATTAATATACAGCACAACAGAAATGTCATTTAGATGGCTGTTGGTCAGACGTTCGGCTTTCTATGATCTGAAAGGGTGATATGGGCGAGTTGTAGCCCTACATGGTATGTCAAAAGAAAATTTTACCTCACATTTAGTATTGCAACTGATTGATCTCATCCTAGGGCTCCGGCTCGCTGGCTGATGAGTCTTGGTCGAACGATTGCAATGACATTCTATGAACAACTCTGGAATATGGCTCTAAGCCATCTATTTCACTCAAAAGCGGCGTGCCACTTGGGCACAAATAAGGGACAATACCCGAAAATGGCCGCGAAAACCTAAAAGAGCGACAATTAACTTCACGACCTGCACTCTGGGTCATGTTAGAATGAGAACTACCTGAAACCAGAGAGGAGCAACATATTGGCCTAAGTGGCTGTGGGCTCAACGCCAGTCTATATACGACTGACAACCCAGCAATTTTGTCACATAATGACGATCCAGACAAGGGACCAGTCATGGAACACAATCACGAGCGGCAGACGAAGCCCAAAGCTCAGGAGGACTGATGCAAGGAGAGCATTAGCGCAGTGATGGCACTCTCACACGCAGCAAATGGATAGAAGACGTCCCGCATCCGCATGAATTTACAATTTCTTCTGTTCCAGGAGCATAGCGTCTGAGACCCAACGGGGCCATATACCAGAAACAGGCGGCAGAGACCTGAGAATTGTCTCACTTTGACTCAGATTAGATATTTCCTGTGAGATATATCCCACGCGAAAGCCAAAGGTAATTAAAGATTCCAATTTTTCTTACTTTTACTTACGGTTTGCAAGCCAGAGTTGTCCCAATTGCACCTGGGAAATCTGGTGAAAGGAATCACCATTTGGGACTTTGCTCCATGTCGATTGCTCACTCCGTAAGTCGTGTTTCGCTTCATTGCTTTGCGCTCCATTTGCCAATCTCGGTCTAATGGCTTAAATGGGTGAACGAGCAAGCCATGAAAACCAAGATAGGCACCTCGAACAAGTCGAGACCGTCATCAATGATGGCGGCCTTTACATAGTGAAGGTGATGGAGTCCCGTAGCCGAGAGCGGGCGAAATTGCCCATTGCCAGCTATGAGGCGAGAATTAGATCCAGGCAATAATGAAAGAGGGAATGGACTCATACTTATACCTACTTAGGCCAAACGCCATGCTGGGGGGGGGGGGGGGGTTAAAGCGAAATGGCGGCCAGGAGGAGGGATTCTGTCCCCAAACCCACGCGCAGGAGGTTGCAGAGCTTCTAGGCCAGGCAATAACTAACTGCAATGGTGAAAAGTAGGAAGATCAAGGGGCATCTACCTTGACGATCTATGGGACCCAGTTCCGATTTGTGGTCTCCTTGTGCTGAAGGAATACATGCTTTGGACATTCATACACAAGGAGCGCCAAACATAGCATTTCCGTTAAGACAAACGTGGCCAATTCCACGTCCCACCCAGGACGTCAGAGATACCAACAAGTCAGAGGCCCAAAGACAAAAGAAGCATCAGTGTCAGGTCCTGGTACAAGAAGCCCATGAACGATTCAAGAATTGGAGAAGCAACAAGGAACTTGCGGGCCCCATGCGTGAGCAATCGCCAATTTCACAGGGGCAATCGTAACGGCCCCTATGAAGCAACATGCCGTCGAAGTAAGCCCATTGAATATCACAAGTGGGCATTTCCAGAAACTGTATACAGTTACCAATCCCCAGATTTGATAGGCTGGAAATATACATTATTTGCAAGTTAGAGGCCCCGAATCTGTTGACTACCGTCCATGAGCTGCCCTGTATGTCGGGGGGGGGAGGCATATTGCTTTGCACGTATACTGTAGCTGATCAAATCTTGTCTAGGACTCTGATTTGAGCATTATGGGGCGTCTCGTTTATAGCCAAGTTTGCCAGCTTAGTATCGACAAAAATCTCTCGGAAAGGGGGTAAGAGCAACAAACAAACAGAAGTTTTTTTTTTTTCGCCAAACCCAAAATATTATACCTCACGCAGAGCTCGTCAGAGCTCCAGAGGTTCAAATAGCGATAATAACGGCCTATGCCGATTTACATGATCACAGGAGTCATGATCATAAGTGGACCCTACAATGACCAGGCATTTCTGAAGTTTACTATGGACGCATCCAGCTAGAGTGTGATACTCAATCACTACTTCACTCTTGTGATGGATAAATCCATCGGCTCCAATACCATCCTGGTGGCTTTATAAATATGACCATTGACAACACGCGGTGCAAATGGCACTCCTTGAAGGGGACACATCTTGGAAAACCCTGGAACACGAATCACTGAATATCGCATTCGCCTCCTCACCCACATTCATGCCAAGGGTCAGAGAGTGGAGGATTTTGCAGTGTACTTCAAATATAAAGATACTTGTGTGCAGCTTTTTAACCTCGCAAGGGAAAGAAATCGACGAACAGTTCGGCAACCTGGGGTAGCATTATTGGAGAAGTCACGAACTGGGATGGCTTCGAAGAGCGTACTACTGTTTGTAATGAACCGTTCCTTTGGTAGTATAACGTACCCTGTGGCGCAAGCTAACAGTTCGCCAACAACAAACATACATATCGGTCGACTTTATACAAAGAAACCGAGGAAGGAGGCAGTACAGGCCCATTCTCTCAAACTGACGAGTGCCTGGCGCTCGAGAGCTCTATACACATTCCCCGAGCCACCGTTGAGACTTTAAAGCACTCTCAGTGTCGGGAGACTCCGGAGCTATGGTTTATAACGAACAACACACGTTGGTATGCTCTTTGCTGGATGCAAGGACACAGATGTATCCTACATCACCCAGTTGACTGGTTCGATACCAAATCACGATGAACATTATGCAGAGATACTTCGAATTCTCCGTCTTATGGGGTTGCGTATACGCTGGTGAATAATACCAACGAGAAAACTCGAAAGTATTCTCATGGGACATGAAACTAGTAGCAGAGAGTTCTCACATTACCAATCACGAGTCCCCATGATTGACTTCCTTGCTTTATTCTGAGAAGCCGAGGAGCTCCCAGTCAATGCACAACCTGATACTGTAGCGTCCATGTGCTGCCGGCTGCCCCGGATGCTGGGTTCTTTTTTCCCCGCGAAAAGTCCCAAGTCACCAGATTCGAAAGCATTTTTGGGGCTATATTCATGCTACAATGCCCTCTTTACATCGCCTTAATGGTATTCCTATCTAAGCCAACTATGCATTGCCAAAGACCCAGACTCGATTGGGACGTTAACAATCAGAAGTTCCAATTCCAGCTCGGAAACGCGAACATCCGCACTATTAATGACGGATGTCCTCAGTGGCAAAGTTAAGAGAAACAATGGAGTACCTTTATCTGACCAGTGAAAGTCCAACGGTTATGTTGTAGGCCCTGGGATCTAGTTTTGCCCAATTTCTACGGTGGAATCCGACGCCGGGAGTCTTCCCAACTTCTTTATCGGGAACCAGCCCTATGAACAACGACTTGATGTCACCCGCACGAGGAATCTGCTGGCACAAATGCCAACCGAAGACTTGATCCTTCCTTTCCAGTTTTTTGCTGTTGTATCGCATAATCATATGCATTATGAGCAATAAAACAATGCACTTCTCACAAATGAAATGGATTTATACACGGCCACACGGCGGATTACCACCAAGACATCCGTTACTTTTGTCTTTTACGTCCTTTCCGGTACACCATTTGAAGGGAGGGATCTTCTACTGGATGACAGCACTCTGTGCAAAGGCTTAAGCTTGGGAAGACATTGTAAGGTCTCGCATTATTGGCAAGGTTTTATGCTTCAAGAGGATATTACCATTGGAAGGCTACGCACATGATATGAATACAGGACACACCTTTATGCAAATGGGCATGGATCGATAAGGCATCCATTCGAATCGGATTCACGGTACGGAGAATCACGTCCAAGCGAACTCTTGAATAATGAGCCTGTCCACGCTTGATATGTTGGAGAATTTTGTGGATGAGTCGGCCAAATTAACCTGTCTTTTGCAATTCTATATGAAAAAGCGATTCAAAAATTTTCATTAATGTGGCAACAAGACTTAAGACAAGAATAGAATTCCAATACAAATTCTATTCCAATGGGTTGTGGTATGGATTTGGATTGTTGTACTCTCTTCGTGGGAGGAAGAAAAAGAAGAAAGAAAAAAAAAAAAAACAAATGGACGAGCCGCGGATTGAACGCGGGACTTCTCGCATGCAAAGCGAGCACTCTACCACTGAGTTACACGCCCTGATTATCCTGGATTTGCGGGGTATTTGCTATAGTTACCCACCACAACAAAATTCAACTACGAATTGGCTATGTCGTATTATTAATTCTTCCAATTCGATAGTTATATTCACAGAAATTCTATTAGCAAGCCAGCAATCTTTTAGATCAGGACATATTCAGATATCTTGCATAGCAGATGGCTCGCTGAAAAACGCCTTTATTCGCCAGATATCCAGATTCCAATAAGTGTATCCAAAGTATGCAGCCAACACGCAACACATATACATCGAAAATATTTCATCCAGATTCATCAAAACAGATCCCCAGAAGCAAGATAAACAAGATCAACCATCCTTAATAACCTGATCGTTCTGAAGCTCATTCTCCGACTTTTCCCCATCGTCAATCACCATGTCTACTTCCTTGATCGGATGTAATAGCATCGGCGGCAGACACATCCGCCCCTCTCCTGCCAGCTCCTCCTGTTCCCCACCGTCATTGTCAACCCGGTACCCGAGCCAGCGTCTCCAGAGGTTGGGCGAGAAGCCCGCGGAGTAGAAAAAGGTCGTACCACGGAAGTTGTGCTCACGTTCGCCGAAGATGGCTGTCCGAGCACCACCAGACGCGCCGTTGCGGCCGGCGTTGAAGACGGATTCGAGGTAGGTTGTTGGCCAGCGGCGGTCCATGTAGATTGAGTGTGGGACGGAGACGGCCTTGAAGCCGTGGTGGAGGGCGGTGGTTGCGGGGAACATTTCGGAGAACATGCTGTGGCGCTTGAGGCTGGTTTCCTTGTGCATGGTTTGGAGGAGTTTGCGGGAGAGGCGCGAGGCGGTGATGATAACGGTGCGGCGAGGCGGCATGCCGTTGTCCTTGTTGTAGCCTGTTACGTCGTCGCGGAGAATCCAGGTCGTGCCTTCGGGATCGTAAAGCGGGTTAAACACGATCAGATCTGCGTCCTCGCCAACGCCCCATTCGTATTTGTCCTTTTCCATTGTGGTCGGGGGGATGCCTTCGCCTTCCACCTCGAGGACGTCCTGCTCAACTGGGCGCACGGGACCCCAGATAGACTGGTCGCCCTGACCCTGCCATGAACCTCGACCAATTCCAGGTCCTCCTTTGGTCGGGTCTGTCCACATGTTGTTGGGGCTGTTAGTGCCAGTCTCGGTTTGTACCCGAACCATTTGCTTGAAATCCTCCCAGGATCCGTGCACAGATGGGACGTAGAATCGAGCACTGCGTTCCCAAAGACCCTTCCGGGGCTGTGCTCTGGCCCAGCTGGAGACCTTTTCAAAGAAATGGTACCAGTGACCGGTGTTGCGCGCGTCCATCTCCCAATTCCAGTAGTAGTCATATTCCGGATGTTGGTGGCCAAAGTATTGCATGCACATGAAGGTACTCCGGTAAACACCGTAAATCGGCAGGCCTCGCATCCCAGTCTCCTCCAGACCCGGGTACATGAGTTCCATCTGCTTCTCCGACCAAAGAGTTCCCATTCCGCGGAATTCCTCCGGGAGCGAATCATTGAGTACCCGCTCGTAGGTTTCGTCATCAGCCCAGATTTGCAAGTTTAGGTCCTTTACGTGGACGAGGAAATGTACCACATACTCTCCACCCGACAGAAGCGAAAGCTCAGAAATCAGGGAGCGCATGTACAAAATGTCTTCGGGTGTGTAACGGAAATCAGCCCAAGTCCGGATAACGACGGCTGTCCGAGGCAAACGGTCCGTTCCAGTTTTCGGTGGGTGCTTTTGGTCGTCCACAGGCAATGGCTTCTCATGTTTGGGAACACCGACAGGCATGGACAAGAAGCGATCCGGTCGCGCCTCTGGAAAATCCTTAAAGCGATGGTTGTTGCTGGCGACACAACGGTTTTGAGCAGCAGCCCAGTCCACCTTGCGGAAATCCACCGGAGGGTGATCCTCCCAGACACGTTCAGAGCCGTCGCGATGGCCCTCCAATCCTGCACCGATGCCTCCTCTCCTGACACTGTATCCTAACCCGTAAGGACCAAGACGACCGAACCGGTCGAAACAGACATCATCTTTCATCCCAAGCACCTCATTAGAACCAATAACAGCATCGGGGAACCCACGAGGAACACCAGGGAAGTGGTGGACCTGCGGAACCTTGACCGTTTGCTCTTCATCCAAGAAACACTCGCGCTTCTCGCCATATTTCTTCACGTACTCCGGCGACGAATACTCGGGGTAAGGATTAAACACCGAGCTGGAGAACGGAAGATCCCCATTGTCTCTGGATTGAATGTCGTTGTTTTCCTCCGCAATGGCATCTGCTGCCCCCAATCCCAATTCCTCCGATCCATCTCCAGGGTATTCCGGCGCATTATCCTTACGCGGTACCAGACTTTTCAGACCACCTTGGTACCTCTTCAAAAACGGAAAGCTCTCCCATACCGGCGGTCTAGCCATCGGCCTCGGCAAATCGATATGAACGTTCATCACAGATGAGGCAAGCGTAAATCGGAAAAGGGTAACGATAAAAAGTACAAGACCCGAAAACAGCGCTAGGCAGAGCCATCGCATGATCCTATTAGGAACACGGAAGCCCACCCCGGCGCGCGTGCGCCGCAGGGCTGCGGGTGCTAACATGGGCTGCTGCTGAGCCTGCTGGTAGGAAGTAGCGACGGCCTGAGGTGGCGGCGATGACTCGAAATCGCTATCCGAATCGAAAGAGCTGCGACGGCGACGCTTATATCGGGCACCGGAGGGCTGTTTTTCGAGATCGATGGTGTCGGGGACACGGTTAGAGTTGGCCTTGTAGGCGGAGGAATGCCTCCGTGTCTGGACGGTCATGGTTGCGGGCCGTAGCAGGCAAGCATCGACCGGTTCGACGTCACAGGAGTTCGAGAAGGCGTGGACAACGGGAAATCAATGGGACAACGGCATTGAATAAGGATATCTTCGGTTCGGTAGAGGGAGAAAGGACGGAAGATTCTATTCTCGTCTATTTTGTGTTTGTCTTGTGGTCAGTTGAAAGAGTCTCACAGCAGCAGCCGGAATCAGGAGAGGGGAGGATGCGCTATCACCAATCAGCAGAACCACTCTCTTGGCAACCAAGGCAGAAAGATCAATTGTCTGAGCTGTCAGGGAGAAGAAATAAATAGAACGACGCCGTTAAGGGTCCAGTCCACAATGCCGGAAGCGTCGTGGTCGATCGATCTCGGGCGCCCGAGCAAAAGCCGCAACTTAAGAGACGGGAGTAAATAAAGAACAAAAGGGAACAATTCTAGAATAAAAAGAGAGGGGGGGGGGAGAGAGACGGTTAACAGCTTAGTGTCTTTGAGACACCACCGATTTTCATAAGGCAAAAGTGGAGAGGAAGTGGTGATGTGATGGTCTCCCCGGCAATGGATGCTCGTTTCAGCATGACGCGCTCACATGACTTGGCGCAGGACATTTTGTATACAACCAGAGTAGTTCAGATGTACCACTCAATGCTGTGGTCTGGAAAATATTGAGTACCAGGGATGACATGGAGTGAATACAGAGAGGCCGGTTCAAGATGGTGGTTGTGTATCGGGAATTGCGGGGGGTTCCTACACATGCTACGGGGTCGACTTCCGGTGAAGTCTAAAGATATTTCATATATTTCTCACTATCATTATCATAAACATCAAACATCAACAGCTCGAAAGAACCATGCACTACAGCTTGAGAGCGGATGGTTGCGAGTTAAGCCCCGACTCGATGGCCTTGATCTGTAGGGCCAGGAACTTGGAGTAGATCCGGCAGATGGCCAGGTTTCCTCCCATATACCAGAAGCCGGGGTGACCACTTGGACGCCACATCTATAGTATTTTAATTAGCACAATGTTGGAAAGCAGCAGAATGGGAAGGTCTCGTGAACATACCCCGTTCAATTCACCCTCTTCGTCCAGGTCCCACACATCCACAAGCCGATCAGCAACGCGATCCCCAAGGACCTTTCGAACAGTTGTCCGCATATTGTCATAGCCAGTAGCCAGTACGACGATGTCTGCCTCCAACTTACTGTCGTCTTTCAGGATGAGACCGCGCTCGTCGAAGCCCGAGATGCCCTCAGGGCTGTGCTTCATCTTGATCTTGCCGTCGATGATCAATGAGCTACATCCAACATCGATATAGTAGCCCCCACCCCGGGTCATGTATTGCCGGGAAATTCCTGCCCCATCAATGCCAAAGTCCAGCTTGAACCCGGCCTTCTCGAGACCTTCGAGGGTATCCTTTTCCACGGCACGGACTCGGTTCGTGAAGTCGACGGCCAAGGCGAACTGGACAGGGAAGGGCAAGCTCTCCGTTATGATATCTGCTTCTTCGGTCGGAGCTCTAGTGATTGTCAGTGGATATGCCACATAGTAGTTATAGTAGGGATGTTCAAGGAGGCCATACCCATTCTCTTCATGAAGGCCCTCGTGCATCATGAAGACACCCTTTTCAACTGTAATGACATATGTCCCGCTTCGCTGAAGCATGGTTGTATCGGCACCATTCTCATAAAAGTTCTGCGCAATATCGTGTCCACTGTTCCCAGTACCGACCACGACCACCTTCTTGCCCTTCACATCGGATTCCGAGGCGTCACGGTGCTGGCTGCCATGATATAATTGTCCCTTGAACCGCTCCTGTCCCGCAAAGGTTGGAACCTTTGGTTCGCCCGAGTGACCGGTACACCACACAATATGCCGGGGGTGAAGGATCCGTTCACTGCCGTCGCCTCGGGTGAGAATAACCGTCCACTGGGATTCCGAGTCGTCGTATTCTGCAGACTTAATGCTGGTCTTGAGCCAGACATTGAGCTCCATTATACTAGCATACGCTTCGAACCAATCTCCGAGTTTGTCTTTGGGGGTGAACTGCGGCCAGTTCTTGGGGAACGGAAGGTATGCCATGTGCGTAAACTCGGCCGGATCGTGGGTAACAAGGGTCTGTACATAGCAAAGGAATGTGTTAGCAGGCGTCATCTGAGTTACCAGTGTCAATTATCGAAGCCTACCCTGTAACGCTTTCTCCAGTTATCCCCAATCCGCTCATTCTTGTCAACGATAAGATTCGATACTCCGAGATTTTGAAGTCGAGCAGCCGTGTTAAGCCCTGCCTGGCCTATACAAAGAAAATGTCAGATTATAAATCGATATGTGAAAGACATAGTCACTTACCTGAACCAATAATCAGAGTCGTGGGCTCCTCATCAAGAAATTCGACTTGTCGCTTGCGTCGTTCAATCCAATTCCCTTTGAAAAGTCCATCAGGCATCGACTCGATGGTCCCTTCAGCTCGATTTACACCAAGCGGTTCCTTGAACTGCTTTAATTCCTGTAGAGACGTGTACACAGCATACGCCTTCCACTTCCCAGCCTCGTTTACCGTGAGACGAAGAACACCGGTTCCATTCCCGACGCGAGACTCGAAAAAGAACATCGAGGAGATCCAATTCAGATCTCCCCTCGGGTTCTCCAGCTTGGGCTGGAATTCTCCTTGGTGCTGTAGACGGAAAGAGGACAGCTGGAATCGGGGTTGGTTTCGACTGAGGAAGTCCTTAATCCCATCGGCGTTCTGCACCGTGTGGAGGTCCCAATCCAAGGCCAGCATGTCTCGCCACCATGATTGCTCATGGAAGAGCTCGGGGACCTTTGCATAGTCGCCAATGGCGAGCAACGTCTGCAAGTTGTTGAGCCATTGCTGAGCAATTTCACGAGGGTCCACGAATCGAGGGGCTCCGGGGGTTGCAGGAAGCTGGATGATGTGATGATTTTGAGAAAGAGTCATGATGAATTAGAGAAAGAGGAAGAGGAATTGCGATTGAAATGCTGTAGAGAAGTCGAGAGCAAAAAGCGTGGCTTACGGCAGTATAAATACCCAAGCCAAGCCCAGGGGCATGAGTAACTGTAGCGAGAGTTGAAATCATCGGAACCAGTTACAGAGCTGTTACTGAGCTGGATTAACGGAACATGCGAGCTCGCGTAGATCGTCTCGAGGTCGTGGGGTAAGAGGGACGACCCCGGATTTGCTCCGAGGAAGGTCACCCGAAGAGCGGGTGTACCGATTGGGAAGGTGTGGCGGGCGTTATTCGAATCTTCTGGACTCGTATATCGGCTTACCGACCGACGCAGGGAATGCAATTATACATAGAAATATGTACTCCGTACTCTTGGTGACGGCGAATTACTAGAAACGGTATAGCGTTCCTATATAGGTTTAGCGTCCCATTTCCGCTTGGCACCGCTGTGCGTGCTCTATAAAGTCGCCCGCCATCGCTGCTTCAACTTTCAACCAAAATTCTGTTGTTTTCCTTCCACTTGGTTCTCCCGCTGCCTGGATGATTTTGGTGAGGCATTTTTGCTATTGATTCTCTGTCTGGCTTCGCCTTCTGATCTTTGTTGGACTGAGAAAAGTTGATTGGCACAGACTGATTTAAGACACTGATACCACCAACCACCAACAACTTCACCTTGTGACCAGCGTCGCCAATTCGCCTTCTGGCCTGCATTGGACAGGGAATCAGTTGGTGCAGAGAGACCAGTTGAAGATATTGATGTGCCACAGCACTGCTGACTTCACCTCATGACCAGCATCTGTAACGGCATGAACCACCTAACTATATAAGTGAGCGCAGTGTGACGGCCTGGTCACGTTGGCTGGCTGTCACGTGAGTTGCAGTTGTTTGCTTTATTGATAACTACAGCGTTACCTCCTTTCTTCCTTCCTCATGTCAATTATTCTCGTCGATAGCTACCTAGGTAGAACACATGAGTTGATGTTCCATTAACCTGGCTGAGCTCCGTGACACGCAGTACTAAGCCGACAGGCTTAGTATCCTAGTCTTTTGCTCCTGACGCAGCAGTTATCTCTCTGGAATGCACCCTAGATTAGTGGCCGTGACAGCATCACCGAATGTTGAGAATAGCTGCGGGGACCACTATCCAGCTTCACTTTGTCTATACTACTAGACATGGGCTTGGTTGGTGCACAGGGCTTGTTGGACACAGTGGCATTGCCTCATAGCTGAGACAGGCCATGCATGGGACATAGGAGACAATAGACATGTGATAGGCTACGCCTAGGTCAGTACTCAGACCCTCGTAAGTGTCACGGGCTCGGAATAGCAGATAATAATGAATCGACGTTCCTATCTAAACTATTGTAGCCATCGACGAGAATATCGAATCTGGGTTCTGTGACCCCGCTAAGTGCTTTCCTTCTTTGTATCCTTGCATGGTGGCGTTTGTCGATATCAGCCACTGAGGCGGCGTTGAGGCGTTAAGCCGTCACAAGTTGAAACGGGAATTCAGCGGAATAGGCCGTTTCTTAGGGTCGATTACTCCACCTGTACGTGAGACTAGACTATGAATGAATAGATGGAATAGGAAGAGCAATAGTGCTATATAGCATAAAACGAATACTTGAGTGCTTGTTATCTAGAATGTGTGCTCTGTATGAATCCTCTAATAGAGAGTTCGTTAGACGGATTATTGTTAATCCCATTGGGCCAACTACATACTACGTAATTCTTCGTCAGTGTGACAGCCTCGACACGGAATTACTTTGTCCCGGTCTCAGACATTACCTTCCAGTGGCAGCTATCGCCCGTCAGAACCCCAAAACTCAACTAAGAGATTGAGGAACACCAGCAAAACAGATTTGATCATGGTGTTTGCATGAAAGTCTGCAGTTATGGCGTCCATCGCCCCCCATCTCACGCCGGAAAAGCCGACCGTGAGCTAAAAACACAAAAGATCACCTGAACCAGAGAGCCCAGCGAATAAAAGGCCTCTGATGACCGAGGTACGTTTCTCCTACCCCACCCTCTCAGCTAC